CACAACTAATAGAATGTAAACTGTTTATATAATGGTTACTGATACTACTCTTTGAAAGAACTCTCTGTATAGTGGTTAATGGGATTTTTAAATTTTTATCTATCTATTTATTTATTTATTTTCTGTGCATTGGTGTTTGCCTGCTTGTGTATCTGTATGAGGGTGTTGGATCCCTAGAACTGGAGTTACGGGCAGTTGTGAGCTGCTGTGTGGGTGCTGGGAACTGAACCTGAGTCCTTGGAATAGACAGCCAGTGCTCTTAGCCACTGAGGCATCTCTCCAACCCTAAGTCAGTGTGATTTTAATAAAATGAAATTCCCATCTTCATCTGCTGAACATCCTTGCCTCCAGGGCCCTGTAGGATTCAGCTGCCTGTTATGTGCCTGACTTCTTTTCACCGTGACTTTGTAAGTGCTGACCAAGCACCCACATAGGGCCCTTTTTACTTTCATACCTAGTTTCAGAGCCACATATCCCGAGCCACTTCGAGTTTTGATCACATGTCACCTTTGCAGTGAGGTCCATACTGGACTTAACTCTTAAAAGTTCAAGTCTTAAACTATTCCTAACTTGTACCTTTATTTAACTGAAGTGTTATCACCATCTGCCTTACTATACATACATTTTGTACTAATGTTTTCTCTTACTCTTTCCCACTTGGAGGTAGGTGTACTTTATATATACAGACATTTATATCTATCTGTCTTCTCACAGATAGATAAAGTCACTAATGCCTAGACTACCTGGTCATGTTTTTATATCTGATGTTTGATGAGGAGCAATGGAATGAATTACCCACCGTGGTTCTTTGCTGGGCTTTATTTTATTCAGACATGTCTGTGTGGTATATATTAAAGTCAGTGGTTATTTCTTCTTATGATTTTTAATTTTTATAACAAATTTATCAAGATTTAATTCCCATACAGTATGGTACTCCTGCACAGAGTAGTGATTCAGAGTTTTCAGAACACTATAGTCCTTGCCACCGTTTGAGAGCATTTTTCATCACCCTGAGGAATAGCCCACAATTAATCTCAGTCAGTCTCCACTTACTGCTTTAACTCCCTCCACTCTTTGTCATCACCGATCCACTTCTTATTCTAGGTGGACTCATTCTGGACACTTCAAGGATAATATAGTATAGGATGTTTGTGATTGGTAGCTTTGGGTACATATTTACGAAGTTCTTCTGTGTTGTGATCAGTACTGCTTTGGTTTTATAGCCAAAGTATATTCCATTGGCTAGATATACATTTGCCTTTTTAATATTTCATCTTAATACTTTTTGATATTGATTCTAGATACTTAGCAGATATATGCCTTGTCAGAATAATTTTGTATGCCATTACATTAATTACTTTTATGTTACTGTGATAAAAACTCTATAAGTTGCACCATGACTGATACAGCGTATAGAGAAAGAATTTATTTGAGCATGTAGTTCCGTTAGAGCCCTTAATGATGGAGACAGCTTGGTAGCAGGAGAAGAAAGCTGAGAGCTCACATCTTGAACTTCAAGTATGAAACAGAGGGATGAAACTGGAAGTAGCTGAGACTTTTTATCTCAAATCCATCCACAGTGAAATACTTCCTCCACTGAAGCTGCACCACTTAAATCTTCACCAGACAGTGTCATCACCTGGGGACCAAGTGTTCAAATGCCAAAGACTATGGGGAACACCCATTCTCATTCAACACCCATAGCCAGCTTTCTCCTTGACACTAACCTTTGAAGCATAGACTTTTCTAATTATCATTTCTGTTTATCTGAGTTTGATTGCTGTGCTTTTCATCATATTTAAGAAATCAATCCTTAATCTAAAGTCAAGATTTATTCCTATATTTTTGAAAAGTCTGCAGTTTTGTTCTTAAATTTTGGTCACTTTGAGTTACTATTTGTGTTTGTGAGGGAGGTAACTAGTTCTTCAGTGACGGGATCACGTACATAGATGTCACGTTACTCACAAGACTATCCTACCAGCATACTGCTGTGTTATGTTATCCAGACACCACAGGTGAAATTCATTTGACTGTGAATGCGAAGGGTTAACTCTGGACTCTTGTGACTGTAATCCCAGCCCCTTCCTCGCAGTAACTCCCTACACTCTGCTTTCCGAAGCTTCATTCTAACCACATTCACCTTGTCCAGGATTTGTTCTTATTCGTTGAAAGCTTTATAATAACAGTTTTCTAGAAGGCGATTTCCTTGGGAAAAGCTTTTAGGAAAGGCACATAATGTCTTAAATTCTTAAGTTGGTGTTTTTTATTTGCCTTCATGGAATTGTAAATGTCAGTTTGTACTCATGGTTTTCCTTTCCTGCCTTCATTCTTCTTGGCTCTCAGAGTTGTCCACTTTGGGCTTTTATTTTCCTCCTCAGGAGTTCTTTGGAATTTAAGATCCAGGTAATTATTTGCATATTAGCATGGCCTGTTGTGCAGCTTAAACCCTAAATGGGCTCACTGCACATCTGGTCTGAGTGTAGGAGAGGCAGCTGGTAGTCACCTTGCAGCTAGAATGCTACATTGGAACACACAGGTACTGTTGATGGCAGGCTGTTAATTTTAGAAGCTGAGTTTCTTAATTGATTCTCACTGATGCTGTACAAAGGTTGATAGGCAAATTCTGTTGACTTGCCCGTCCTAGTGAATTAACTAAGTCATAGTGAACCCCCATGGAGAACTCTGGAAACATAGATTAAATCATTGAAATTGCCGTGATACATACTTATTGATCTCTACAAATTATTCTCAAAATACTACTTTTCTATCGGCTTAACACACTTTGGGTTTTTTAAGTATGTAGTGACAGTGTTGTAGAAAGTCATCCATAAGGCTTTACCTGGCTCTTGAGGTCCTCATAAGGGATTGCCTTGCCCAGCCTTAATACAAGGGGAGGGCAAACTGCAGTTGGGATGTAAAATAAATAGATAAATTTTAAAAAGGCATCTCAGTTAGGGTATTAGGGCTGTGATAAAATGCCATGACCACAATCAACTTGGGGAGGAAAGGGTTTATTTAGTCTTATGTCTTGTAGTCTATCATCCAGGGAAGTCAGGGCAGGAACTCAAGGCAGGAACTCAAGAGGGGGCCATGGAGGAACACTGATTACTGGCTTGTTAATTGTTGCTTGCTCATCCTACTTGCCTCCAGACCCAGGGACTACCTGTGCAGGGACAGTGCCATTCACTGTTAATCTAGACAGTACCCACACAGATTTGCCTCTGTGCCAACCCTATGGAGGCATTTTCTCAGTTAAGATCCCTCTTCCCAGATATGTCTACATTTGGGTCAAATTGGGGAAAACAACCAACAGAAAATGCTCATAATACTATCTGTTATTTCCTTCTTGACTCCTTCCAGGTTTTTACCCTTGGGTCTGGTAAGTTGCTGAATGTAGCCAAGCATGGTAACAAACAGAAACTTTTGTTTTTCCAGGAAATCAGTGATAAATGTTCATTGAAAGTCTCCTATGCAGCCCACACTGTAATTCCTAATTTCTGTAACTCCAGAAGAGTGAGCTCTACACAGCTCTACTCTTTGTTCAAGGACGAGGTGTTAGAAAATAATGTTGCTTGTAACTATGATTTTATTAGCAAATTAGCCTTTTCATAATGCAAGTTATGCTTGGATCTATAATTATGTGTTGGTTAAAACAAGCAAAATGGAAGTCCCTTGTGTGGATAAAGGGATTTCATATGTGAAAGACTAGGATGCTCCTTTGAGGACTTGACAGTCAAGTTGAGATGTTAGCAAGTAGTCAGCTAGGTTTTCGAGCAATTGAAAGGCTGTACAGATAGTTATGCCCAAGGATGCAAAGGAGTATGAGCCCAGGATTCAGGAGAAGGTGTGCCAAGGGATGCAGCCGAGTCTGTGCCCAGGGATGCAGAAAAGTTTGTGCCCAGGCATGCAGGAGAGTGTGTTCCCAGGCATGCAAGAGAGTATGTGCCCAAAGATGCAGGAGAATTTGTTCAGGGATGTAGATGAGTATGCCCAGGAATGTAGGTTAGTGTGTACCCAGGGATGCAGGATAGTGCGTGCCCAGGGATGCAGGATAGTGCGTGCCCAGGGCTGCAGGATAGTGTGTGCTCAGGGACGCAGGGGACTGTGTGCCCGGAGATGTAGGGGAGTGTGTGCCCAGGGATGCAGGAGAGTATGAATCCAGGGATGCAGATGAATTTTGTGTTCTGAATGCAGACAGTGTGCCAAGGGATGCAGAAGAGAGCCAGGGTGGTGAGAAACCTTAATGCAGGAGGAAGGTTGAAAGTGAAGCAAGGCCAACCCTGAAACATGCTGCAATCCAGACTTTCTAGTCTATCCTAAGACAAGGAAGGGAAGACGCTCGATGGTTTTTTTTTTTGTTTTTTAAATAAAAGCTATGTGCCTATGACTGAGTTTTTAAATTAAAGATATGTTAGCTTTTGTTCCAGTTAATTGTTAAAATAAATATAAATTTTCTTCAGTGCACTGGGTCTTCTTCAATGTGCTTAGTGATTGCATGGGGCATTGATTACAACAAAAGGCTCATTATCTGTGGAGTCCGACGATGTGGATACTGCTGGTCCCATCTGTGGACCGGCAGAGGAGACTTTGAATAAAAATTAGAGCTCTAGAATTTACTTAGTTTTTTCATTAGTTTTGTTTTTTTTCTGTTTATAAACGGAATACGGTCACTTTTAGTCATAATAACCAATAAATATTTTTCTCTGTGTTGTGAGGGCCATATTTTATAGAACCACTAAGGAGTATATAAATTCTACTTCTTTATGTACTACATATGATCTATGACTTGAGGAGGTGATATATTAAACAGCAGTATTAAGGAAAATAGCTCCAGAAGTGGATGCATCAAATGAGAAAAACTGTTTAACAAAATTTGTGAAGTTATAGGTAGTAATATTTTTAAATTTAGATGAATACAGTTTTATACTATTTTATGGCATTATAGCATTTTGATAAAATTAATAAGTCTTAATAAATAGTTTTTTAATGTTTTTTTCTAGATTTAATCACTTGTTTGGATAACATATCTAAAATTATGGAACCTGAGTTCAGGTATGAGCTTGCACGTATGCATGTGTGTGTGTTCATGTGTGTTCCAGCATACCTCTTCATTCTCATTCCTTTAGAGTGCAGGTTAATGTATAAAGTGTGATACATAGCTAACCATTGATTAAGACTGCAACCAAACCATGCTTATTTAAAGTTGTCCAGTTGCCCTGTTTAAATTTTACTGTAACTGTAGTTGTTAGATCTCCAAAACAGGAATACAACTTTTATTTTATTTTTTCTTTCTATGTAGAAGTGTATGAGAGAGGGTCTCACTGTGTGGTCCCAACTGGCTTAGAACACAAGATCCCCCCTCCTCTGCATTCAGGTGCCATGGTTCTAGGTAACTTGTTGGATGTTCTGAAGTTTGAGCAGTCTTAAATCTGACAGTACTGCTCCTAAAAATAGAAAAGCTGTTCATTCTCTGTTTTATTTTGCTATTTTTATCCTTTGAAGATATCATACATTTATACAATATATATTGGTAATACCCATCCACCACTACTACCCTCGAACTCGCTGAGTGTCCTCCATCCCATCTCCCTCCCAGCTTCATATCTTCTTTAATTGTCATTGAACTTGCATGTATGCTCATGGGTAAGTGGCCATCCACTGGGACGTGAGCAGCATACCAGTAGCGAGATCCCCAAAGATGAGTAACTCTCCCTCTCTCAGCCGCCATCAACTGTTCTTCAGATAGGCTAGGGCTAGATAGATATACTCATACACATGCACACAAACACGTAAACATGTATGCACATAAAAGACTGATATATCTGTGGAAAACCTGCTGCCTCAGTGTTGTTCACTGTGTCCTGGATGACATGGTGGAAGGGTCAGCTGGGTTCCCTCTAGCTTCCAGCTCTGTTGTCACCCCCACATCTGAGCTCTCATCTCCCTCCTGAACTACATGCTGTCTTTCTGTGTCCCCTAGCTATCACTCATGAGTCCCTATAATCTCTTGCCTTGCTAGAAGCCAGAGTAACCTTCCTAAAACGTTACTCCTTGAGTTGCACATGTAAGCTGTCACAGTCCTTTACTGGCTTCCTGTTTTGATTTGAAGATGCATCCCCTACTTCATAGCCCACAAGGTTTCTACAGGATCTGGATCCTGCTCCTCTCCTTGTACTCACAGCACCTTTCAGGACCACAGCAGAGCATCCTGTCTCAGAGCCACGCTCTTCCTAGCATCAGTGACTTACTTCAGTGACATCTGCTAGCTCAAATAAGCAATGTCAAGCCCTGTGTAAGAGGAACCTAGCTTTGTGACTTAGGTGCACAGTTCTTTACTTTCCTTGTCTGTAAAATGGAAATAATAGCAATAAAAGTACCTCCTACATGAGATGCTTGTGTGGATTACCTGAGACCCTCGGGTTGCTTCCTCAGACATAGCAAAATTGCTGGATGTATGTATTTTATTAGATAATAGTTCTCTCAGTTGTTTACAGATCCCCTCCTCATCCCAAACATCTGTGTAAGTGCTCAATGAATCTTTTCTTCTGCCATTTGAGTATGGATTCAGATGGCAGGACCATGTTTTATTTGGTTAGCATTTATAAGTCACAGACCTCATCGGGCAACATAGTGGACATTCATATAACCCTGTGGGGCATGGTGAATAGGTCTTAGAGTAGAAAGAGATCTACTGCTTGTGACAAAGTAAAGTTGTAGGCTGCGAGAACATTTTTATCAGTAAATTCACTGTGTTGGGTCAAAGAAAGTGTGAGCAGGCTTTTTAGCAAGGAATGGCTCCGTGTCATGCTGAGCATGTGTTCTGCACTGCACGGAATCAGCATGTATGAAGTGTATAGGATTTCTCTTTGGGGTGTTTCCCGCAGGAAGTAAGCATTCTGTAATCTTTTACTTGTTTTCCTTCTCAGTAAATACTGCCCAGCTGGCTGTCTGCTCCCTTTTACTGAAATATCTGGAACGATTCCTCATGGATACAGAGATGTAAGTTAAATACAGACTTCCTTCACTGCTGTGTACACTGTTATTTTAACTCAGAAATGCTCCCAAGATGATATATATATTATATGTCTCTGTCTTTTCCTGTGTTAGAAATGATGCCTTTATAGTAAAACCTAACTCTTCTACTAAAAGTGTATTTGTTTCAATAACCTGTTTCTGAGAATCTGCCATAGCAGCTAAATCCTTGAAAAAGTACATGTATCTTCTTAATGAATAATAAGAAGAAAAGTTCATTTAAATTTTTTGTTTTGTTTTTTTTTTCTGTTTGTTTGTTTTTCAAGTCTTCACCACTGTGCATGGCTGGAATCCATGCGGGAGTAGTGTCAAACGTCCTGGGTGGCCAGATCAGTGTTGTGATTAGCAAAGGCACCCCATACTATGAAAGCTCTTTGGCCAACAACGTCACTTCCGTGGTGTAAGTGCACATTCTTTGCAGTAAGCATGCTTGGGGGTGGAGTTGTATGACCCTATTCCTGGGGAGACATAAGCAGATGTCCACCAGAGAGACAACCAATGACAGTACCATAGTCCAGTGTGGTGAACCAGTGAGATTTTTTGGGGGGGGGGGGTTCTTACAGGAATAGGGTGACAGGTTCCTTACAGGAACAAAAATTAGTCAAAAGAACTACATCACCGAAGCTCACCCCAGCGTGGGTGACAGCTCACAGAAGCTGGAAACCTGTAGCCCCTGCACACAGAGCCTCTAGTGCCATCCCGCAGGGTGGAGGTGTCCTCCCCGTGGCTCTGCACTGTTTACCTTGTTCTACTGTACAAAGGTGTGTGAGTGCTGCTGCTTTTCTCAGCTTCGAAACCAAGTCTAGGAGTTTGTGGACAAGGTCATACATTCTTTGAAGATAAAATTCAGAAGATGCCGGATGGTGGTGCACACCTTTAATCCTAGTACTAGGGAGGTAGAGGCAGGTGGATCTCTGTGAGTTCAAGGCCAGACTGGTCTACAAGAGCTAGTTCTAGGACAGGCTCCAAAGCTACAGAGAAACCCTGTCCCAAAAAACAAAAACAAACAAACAAATAAATAGATTCAGAAGATGAAACCATAGTTCTTATAGTTTGTGCAGTCCAGAGTGGACCATGGCTAACTGAAATAGTTACTAGAAATAGATTTTGACATAAAGCGGGAGTATTGTAAAAGTACTCATCTCAAAAGAGTAGTAAATATGGATTCTCTTGGTCTCTACAGTATTCAGGTATTTTGTAAAACAAAGACAAGACAATCAGAATCAATTGAAACATTAAATAAAAATTCATTATTAGCAGTCTGCTTCTAAAATCTGGCTTTTTCTCTGTGCTTAGTTCTGCAGACAGGTTCCTTTCAGAAGGAAAGAGCGTGGTCCATACACAGGACATGACAGAGTAACAGCAAACTTGTCTTTGAAAGGCCACCTAGTAGCCAGGCATGCAGGCACGAGCCCATATTGCTAGAGGCAGAGGGCTGTGAGTTTGATGCCAACTTGGACTACAAAATGAAACCCTGTCTCCAAAAGCAAACAAAACTTGTCTCCTCCACTAATGCTTGTTTATTTTATCCTCAGCCTTTTAATTGCATAGAAAACATTCTCAGCCTGTTGCTAGGCAAAAGTAGCTCGCTCTCTCCCTTTGGTTTTCTGTTACATGATTTTATGTACATCCTTTCATTCTTTCCTGTATTCTACCCTTAGAGTTTGGAGGCACGTGTCGTTTCCCTTTCATATGTAAAAAAGTTATATTTTCTTTGGCCTTGTAAGTAACTCAGGGATGACTTCAAGTTGACAGATAGTAGGTTATGTACCATTATTGTGCCATTTCGTATAAGATATTTGAACATTTGCAGATTTTGATATCTGCCAGGGAGTATAGGATGTCCTGGAACTGGTCTCCTCAGGCGCCAAGGGACAACTGCATGTTTGTAGGTTTCTGATGGAACATAAGATGGGTGTGGTGTCGCATGCTTGCAGTTCATAGGCTTAGGCAGGGGAAGCAAGAAAATCCAGAGTTTACAGTCAAGTTGAGCTATTTAGTGAATTGAAGGCCAGCATAGGCTAATGGGAGAAACCCAGCTCAAAATAATAATAATAATAATAATAAATGGTCCTCTTGTGACCATTTGAGCATTGTGTTAAGGGAAGAGTGTAACTAAACATCCTACAGGTCTCGTGGAGTCTTAAGTGTTCTTTTGTTTTGTAACAGGCAAGTTTTTTCTTGTCTGACCCTTCTGTCCTCATCAGCTCACCATCCTGCCCATCCCTTTGAAGTCCAGATGTGATGCCACACTCACCTCAGACATGCTGATTTTCTCTAAGGAAAATGCAGTCTCTTTCCTAGTAGCCAATTCTTGTGTGCTTACTAGGACGCTTGAGTCTCACCTCATTCTCTGAAATACCCCCTTTTCATGTTCTTTCACAAAATTAAAGAGAGTAAAAGTTTTATGTATTTATTTCATGAGAAAGGAATAAAATAAGAGTTAAAGGTTACACGGCATATTTATATGGTCACCTGTGAACCTAGATGCTAGCTGGACTTATAGAAAAAGTTGTTCATGGTAATTTTACAGGTTGTCTTCCTCAGGGAAAAAGAAACTTTAAAATGCATGTTGTTTGATTTGTAGTCACGGATTCTTCTTATCCCTTTAAACAACAGGAGAAATTAGCATTTCACTGTGATTAATACAGGGATGCTACATGTTAACTGAGTATCACATGAGACCCTTTCTCTCTTTCAGGGGCTATTTATCTCCGAGTCTGTTTACATTTAAGACAAGTGGTAAGCCTGCCATGGACTTGGGCCATCATCTTTGTATAATAGCTAATGTTGTTTTGAGCACCATCAGGCACCCAGTAGCTGCTGAGGTGTTTATTCTCATTCGCCTTCAAGAAGAACATAAGTAAAATAAGGACTGAATTATATAAAGGTTAGGCTAGCTGGGCAGAGGCAGGCGGATCTCTGTGAGTTCACTCTGTAGCTACACAGAGAAACCCTTTCTCAAAAAACAAACAAACAAACAAAGAAGTTGTCTGAAGAAAGAATTCATTCATTCCACTTGTCTGAAAGTTTGAAGTCAGATGGAAAAGGCTTTACAACAAGATATGCCACATGAACAAAACCTATGAGAGGTCCAGGAAGAAGTTGCCTTTTTCGCCTGCTGGGCACCTCAGAGGCAGGATAGTTTATCTCTGCTGACTTAACAGCTAATGCTTGTAAACACATCTAGTCGACCCTCAAATCCATAGCTTTCACACCTACAGATTGGAAAGATTTAGTGGAAATCCTGTTTCTGTGCTAGGTACATGCACAGAAATTTTCCCCATGTTGTTTTCCCTAAGCAATATAGTGTTACAATTATATACATCCAATTTATATTTTCTTTCGCATTGTATGTAGCCCAGAGGTGACTTAAAGTTGACAGATAGCACACTATGTGCCCATACTCTCACATTTTATATAAAAGACTTGAGCATTTGCAGATTTTAGTAACTGCCAGGGAACATGGGCTGTTCAGAACTGATTCCCTATAGGCATATAGGGGCAGGTGTAGGTTTGTAGGTTTCTGGTGGGACACAGAGGCCAAGGCCCAGGAAGCAGCTGCCTGGTTGTTCAGTCACAAGTCTCTAGAAGCACTGCTATAGAGATCTCAAATTTACCCCTAGAAACCAAATGGATTTTCCTCTCTACTTCAGGTTGTTATGGGACTCTGGGGATGGAATCTGGGGTGATTGCCGACCCCCAGATAACTGCATCATCTGTGCTGGAGTGGACTGACCACATGGGGCAGGAGCACAGCTGGAAACCGGAGAAGGCCAGGCTGAGAAAACCTGGGCCTCCGTGGGCTGCATTTGCCACGGATGAGCATCAGTGGCTGCAAATCGACCTGAATAAGGAGAGGAAGATCACAGGTGAGAGACGTGCTCTCTGCAGCACCACTACCACGAGCCGCATGAGAGCTGAAACTTTCAGAAATCAGGTCACTGAAAATTATAAAGCTTGCGCTTCAGTTTTCTCCATGGTATTAAAGTTGCTGGGGATGCTTTCATAAATTTTGCCAAAAGCAGAATTTGCATTTAATTTTTAGTAGTTCTATTTTAATATGATCCATTTAAGGTAGAGTTTCAGTTAAGTGAGTTTTGAGACTTCTTACTATTATTAAGGAATTGATAGCTAAGGAGAGTGCATCTAAAGTGCTAGAAGAAACTGAGATTCCACATGTGCTGAGTACAGATTTAACTTAGGCCGACTCAGTGGCCATCAGGATGATTGAGATTGCATTAGAGACTTAGGCTAAAGGATTCATTTTGCCCTAGTACTGAATATACCCGTCATCGTGCTTAATGTTCTTTCCCAGAAAATCATTATTAGTAGTGGAAATGTATCTTCTAACGGTACGAATTCAAGCGGCAAAGGCGCAGTAGTTCTTCCCTCACACATGCCCGTAATTCTTCCTGTCTCCAAAGGAGCAAAGCCAGGGCTTAGTAGCTGTTACAATGAAAACTGCCCACTGAGATGGAAATAAGCCACCGACAGGAATGCTTCCAGGGTGCATCGCAGGTGTTTATAGCTGACTTTGGGAGTCTCTGCCTGTGCACTAATGAAAGCAACTCTTTTTTCCCAGGTATTGTAACCACTGGATCTTCCATGGTAGAACACAATTACTATGTGTCTGCCTATAGAGTTCTGTACAGTGACGATGGGCAGAAATGGACGGTATACAGAGAACCTGGTGTGGAGCAGGACAAGGTAAAGTGGGCCTTGGCTGAAGTTACAGAAGCTCGCTAGTTCATGCTTAACTACGTTCATAGCTTGTCTTACACTGCTCTCTTCTGGGTATTCTAGGTACTGTTTGTTACTGTCTTCACCTTATAAATAGGCTTAGAAAACTGTTGGTGATTCTAGGTCTTTGTGATTGTATAAGTACTGATTCTGCTTTGTGATTGTATAAGTACTGATTTTTGTTACTGAATTTTTATCTAAGTATTTTGACTACTAGAGTAAGAACTTCTAAACAGTTACATTCAATTTCTTGTCTTTCTAAAGTCCATAAAATGATGGAGTCTTGACTTCCTTCTCAGATTTCAACTACAGACAAGAAGGGAGGGAGTTAGAGCCAAAAACTAAAGAACACCAAAGATCGAAAGATCATTGTGAGGTTACCTCGCCAGTGTTTGTGTCAGTACAAATCAGATTTTCCTACGTGCAGAATTTCCTTAATTTCTGTGATACTTAGACATTTCTGTCTTAGCAAAAGATTGTGGAGATACTGGAACTGATCAAGCAAGTGAGAAAGTAGAAGAGGAGGTAGAAGTTTCCCCTGGCTGTTTGTCCCACTCCCTGGTTTCTGGCCTGTGATTCTTGACAGAATCTTTAAGAGGAAGAATCTCTATCCCCCAGGAAGGTGAAGATGGCATTTTCTCTCAGTGAGACATGCAGTGTTTCCCTTCAGTTCTTCTCACCATGCATATTTCACAATCCCTGGAGGCAACCTCACAGTGGCCCTGGTGCTCTGGTCTTTTTCTTTTCTTTCATTAAAAATCTTTTCACCTCTCCATGACTTAGCTTGGAGATTTCCTACTTTTTTGTCTTCCTATTGTCTTTCCTCTGCAGTATCTAATCTTTTAGCCCTATCTAATGCATTTTTAGCTCCAGTACTGTATTTTCCCTTCTTTATTTTCACCTTGAGTTTTAAATTCTTCTCTCATGTCTTTCTTCATAGGTTCATGGAACATTGAGCATGTAACTCTTTTGGTGTGCTTACCCAGTAACTCTGTCCTACATATCACAGTGTTAGCCATTGTGCCATTGACTGCTGCTGGGTGCTTTTATTATCATAATTCTTTGTATGCGTTTGAGCTTTATTCTGGGATACAATTAAGCTGTCAGAAAACATTTTTTTTTTCTATTCAGGTCTTGACTTTAAGAATTGCTAGGCAATGAACATCTTTGGGTTCTAATTTGCCAGACACCATTGAGACAACATCACATGCATTATGAGACTTCTCCATTGTGTGTACTAGAGATGTAGAGTATTTTGAGGCCTGTGTCATTTTAAGATTGTTTCCTGGTCCTGGGGTTCTTTTTCTGACTCTAAGCTGTGTCTTTGCGAATGTCTGAGGGCTTAGGGGAAATCCCTTTGCAGAGCCTACTAACCTTTGTCTAGCTCATCCTCCCCTGCTGTCATTACTCTGTTCATTTCCACTTCCTGCTCTACTAAACTCTACCCCAGGAATTCCAGATATCTGCTAGCCTCAAGGCCTCTCACTCTGTCTGTGCCACCAGCAGAGCAGCCAGTTCCATATGGAATACTCTTGCCCTGTAACCTGGAAATTCACCAGTCGGCACCAATGAACAGGGCTTGCCTTGTCTGTTTTCCTTCTCTGTGGTTCTTACTTACCCTCTGCTTCCTGTTGTCTAGTGTCTTGAGTCCGTCATGCACATTCCCATTTTCTCAGTTGTGTATGGCTGAGGTCCAGCTCCTGTCACTCAGTTACAGACAGCAGAGGACGTCTTACATTGATTTGCATCAAGCGGCACCCTTTCCCTCACTTAAATCTGTCCTTCTGCTCTCTTCTTGGGTAACTGATGCATTTGTTTTCACACATCTTTTAAGTCTGCATACATACAGAGCCTACATTTGCTTTTATTTCCAGAAAACACGATCAATATATCTCCTAAACTTTCATAATCTATTGCTTCCATTATAGCACACCATCTTTGTGTGTGCTTGTGTGTGTGAGATAATGCCCCATATGACATACTCCGTGAGTAGGGTTTTATTTCTGTTTTTATTTTTCCTACGGGCATCTTACAAACCTCCCTGTGCACCAGATTCTCAGTAAATGTTGGTAGATCAACTATTGCTTTTGAGACAGGGTCTCATATAGCCCAGCCTACTCTTGTCCCAAAATGATGCTTCAGTTAATTCCTGTTCCCTAATAACAAAACTGCAATTTCTGCCTTTGTTCTATTTCCGAACAGTATCTGAGGAAATCATAGAAGTTTACAGAAGTTGAGGTTATTGGATGCTCAGAGCAAACCCTATAGAATATTACAGATCTTAATATATCTTTAAAAGTATATAATTTAGTTACCTGTGGATGGACTCAGAAGATATCATTGTCATACTTGGGCTGGCTTGTCCAGTATGTGCATGTTCTCACCTTAGGTTATAATAGAATGGACCTCATTGATTTGGCACGAGGGGAAACCAAGGCCCTGCTTAGCTAGTGCAGTCCTGTGGTTAAGGCAGAGGACTCAGTCATGTCCGCTCCCTGCTGCTGGCCACTGTTATCTATGAGTCACGCTTTCTGTGCCCTGCCTTGGAAACCATTTATGGCAAGTACATGAAAATTCTTTATAAATAAGAGTCGACTCTTATTTATAGGGAGTATAAAATACTTTTGCTAGAAAAGGAATGAGATGTCACTTTAAATCATGTTTTTGCTTAAAGATGGCTTATGTAATACATTTTTAGCTGTTTAGTTACAGTCACCATATAGATGGGAACACTTTTTCAGTTATTGTTACTTCATATGAGCAACAAGTACTGAAAACTGGGTTGTGATGTGGGGCATGCCATAATATAGTAGGTCCAGCAGGTGGAGGTATAGGCTTGTTTACATTTGCCAGTGTGCATTCAGGTCCAGCCTAGGGAGAAATGGTGCACATGGAGTGAACAGGGTGACCAGGCCCTTGTATGGTCAGCTCCTTTTCACATTCAAAGTAGAATAAATATGTTTAAATAATTATTAATTCCACAGGGACTGGGGCTGATAGTGATTCAATTTTCCCTCATATTAACTCCAATGGAAAATGTGCAGCTTCTGAATAACTGTTTCTCCAGTTTGTAATTAAGTCATTTTCTGAGCAGTCTGTTCTGTTGTCATACTTTACAGATGTTGTTGAACATGCTTAAGTGGAGCAGTCCAGTTCTGGTCTCTTTTGATGTAAAATACCAATTTTTGTTATTTTTTAAAGATATTTCAAGGAAACAAAGATTATGACAAGGATGTTCGTAATAACTTTTTGCCACCAATTATTGCACGTTTCATTAGAGTGAACCCTGTCCAGTGGCAACAGAAAATTGCCCTGAAAGTGGAACTCCTCGGATGTCAGTTTACTCTCAAAGGTAAAGAGTCAGCACGCACAGCAGTGGTCTCCACTGCTTCCCCTTCTGCATTTCCCCCTGCACCGGACTTAGTAACTGCACACATGGGACACTGTGGCTTTCTGTTCATGTTCACAGACATCATGACCAGTAATGGCCCTCTCTGTCACTTCAGCTTGATACTGTTCTTTGTATTTGAAACCTGTCAGTGTCCTTTCTCTAGTAGGAATTGCTCATTTGTTTTCCTGATTTAAAAAAAAAAAGTCGCACATCAGTTTAAAACTACAAATGAAATGGTAGCATCGTATTCCGACTCTAGTCTTAAAGACTCGTCTTCAGCTTTGTGTGATGAGATATGTATGCTGGAGATTTGATCAGTAGCCTTAGCATAAGTAACTTTGATTTTTAAGTAATTAAAAACTGTAATAATTCACTCAATATTTTATAACATTTTAATGTTATATATTCATTTGTTTGTTTGTTTGTTTTTTTTTCTCAAGGCAAAGTTTCTCTGTGTAACAACCTTAGCTGTCCTGGAACTCACCTTGTAGACCAGGCTAGCCTTGAACTCAGAGATCTGCCTGTCTCTGCCTCCCAAGTGCTGGGATTAAAGGCGTGTACCACTGTCACCTTGCTGTTATTTGCTCTTATATTCTACAAAACTACCATTGTGCCTGACGTAGTTGGCTACCTAAACATACTTATTAAGTGCACTAAAGATGGCACATATTGAATTATTGCTGTGGAGTCCAACAGCATTCTGCCCTCCAGTATTCTCCTAAGATTGTTTATTAATGAATATTTAAAAGTTAGAAAGTCTTAGCTTTTCTACATTCTACATTTTCTGGATTCTGAGATTTAAAATTGCTCTGCAGAATTGATTTAGGAATTGATGACCTGACCATTTAACGTTAGTCTTTTTAAACTATTATTTTTTAAAGTAATATGTATAAACATTTCTGAACAATTTTTAAGGCCGTCTTCCAAAGCTTACTCAGCCTCCTCCACCCCGGAACAGCAATAACCTCAGGAACACAACAGCTCATCCCAAACTAGTTAAAGGTATGCCTGCTTTTAATATGTGAGTTTGATATGCCCTGGATTTATGACATAATGTCCTATAAATATATCTAAAACATAAAAATTAACTTACCTTAATCAAGTTGCTAATGATAAAAAAAAAAATAAAGATTTCTCCAAACTTTTTTCAAGGTCGTGCCCCTAAATTTACTCAAGCACTTCAACCTCGAAGTAGGAATGACCTTCCTGCACAGACAGCACAGACAACTGCCACTCCTGACATAAAAAATACCACCGTAACTCCCAATGTAACCAAAGGTAGGCAGACCAGGCACGGTACGGTTACCTCATGGGTTTCTTGTCTTCAACTCAGGATTTCCAGCTTACTGACTTTTCCTGTAGTTTTGCAGCTCCTCCAAGGGAAAAAAAAAAAATAAGTATGAACTTCTCTCTTTAGGGAAAAGCTCTCATGTTTCTAGGTCTGTTCTCTGGTACGTGTAAGCCCGGTTCTTAGCTGTTGTGCTGGGCTGTTCTGTAGGCTTCCCCTTACGACCCCCATCAACTAAACACATGGTTCTCAAGCTCAGAAACTTATTACTTCTAGAAATTATTAAGCCACAGCAGCAAACATGCTTTTTTACCCATATTATGTGTTAAATTACAAATGGGAGAGTTGATAGAGGCAAGAAGAAAAAAAAAACACAGAACTTTTGGGTAGAAACAAATACTTTTTAAAAATTTTTCAAGTAGCATTCTCATCTAAAAAATAAAAGCATTCTATACATTTGTCATTTTGGGGTTTTGTTCCTGATTATTCATTCAAGCATTAGAATTACTTATAAATTGTATTATGGTGATGTCAAATGTACAAACCACTATGATTCTTTCTACTCGTTGAGGAGAAAAAAATGTCCATTAAATTCAGAAATTGATGTGCCAGTGTCCCAGTGCTAACAGGTGAAAAGTGCTCATTTTCAGCAAAGTGTAGAGAAGAAAGTGTCACTAGGGACCCTCTAGTTCCTGTCTCCTTAATAAAGGTGCAAGGCTCTAGGGTGGTTTTTATGCCGCATGAGAAGGAAGCAGCAGGGCAGCGAGCTGTAAATCTCCACAGCTGCAGAGTCAGGGAGCTGGAGGAGAGGAAAAGAGAAAGTTAGCAAGCAGGGTGAGCAGCTGTGGAGGAGAGGAGGAGAAGTCCTCAAAGACTGAGAAACACCCCACCTCATCCCTCTGGGGTGGGGACACAGAACATCTGAGAGAGAGAGAGAGAGAGAGAGAGAGAGAGAGAGAGAGAGAGAGAGAGAGAAAGCATGCTTGGCACCAGGCTGTGGTTCTGGGTTCAGAGGATACTGGACTGACCCCAGACTCTTATGTCCCCACACCGAGGGTTGTACCAGGTCACATGGTTAGAAATAAACGTAGAGAGACAGTTTATGAAGAAAGAAACCGCACATCCGGAGTGGAAGTGGGGTTGGTGAGCTGAATAAAGGAAAGCCTCGAAACTGTTGGGGCACAAGGCGTGCAGCCCTCTATAGGACCTCTAACTGTGCCCACACTCCTGTTTGTACCACCGGCTTTTCTCACGCATTCTCTGCTTGTATATGAAATCTCCTGTGGGAAAAGCTTCCAGCCTTGGTGTGGTCGGGTGTCTTTCGTCTTGATGCTTCCTTCTCCAGTCAGGACTCTCTGGCCACTGGACGGCACTTCTTCCACAGCAGCGCCCCACCAGCCCCTTTCTAGAATTTAATAACTACTTTCATTTTCTAAAATCTGCTTAAACTCAACTTATTTTCTTCAGATTTCCATACGTGAGTTCCTTGCCTGTCTTCATTTCCCTCGTAGTATAGGAAAAGCTAGTCAGAAACCAGAGTTCTCTGAGCAAATAGAGCTGAGCATACCCAGCTTCCGGGTAAAATGCAGGCGTACAATGTTTTGTTCAAATCTAAGCTAAATTGTTTGTGCTTACATAAGAAGACAGAAGCTTCTCAGATGTTTTCCTTAGGCACTGTGCAACTTTTCTGTGAGATAGGGTCTCCTTCTGGCCTGGAACTTGCTGGCCAGCGGGCCTCCCAGATCTTCTGCCTCCTCCACACTGGAATTACAAGCACATGTCAACACTCCTACCTTTTTTGTGTTTTTAACATGGGTTCTGGAGACTGAATTCAAGACCTTGTCTTTACAAGGCAGCTACTTCATTATTCCTGTGTCTAGGCAGATGTCTTAATGTCTGGGTTTTAATCAGACTGGTCACGTTAAACCTTACAACATTCTCTCGAGCTCTAAAAACAGTAAGGAAAAGGCTTATTCATTTTTCTGATTTCTGAGTGCTCCCTGGCCCCAGTTGTGATTTTATTTCATCTACTGCTCCTGCTCCTCTTTCTCTTCCCGCACTTAATTTCATGGAGAAAATCATATCATGGTCAGATGCTTCCAGTGAGCTCTTTCGCTTGTTCTCTACGAAAACTGTTTTAAATGCTCCCCATATCTCAAATGCTTGATCAAGAGCTTTTCCACTCACAACCCCTCTTTTTCCTCAACCTTTTCAAGGCAGAAACCATGAAAAGGAAAATCCCTTTGGGGGAGTCTGCACACTTAACTCCGCTCTATGCCCTGTCTAAGGCACTGATAAAGGAAGTCTTCTGTGCTACCCAGGGCGAATCCCTTCCCCTGGACCTGAACCCAAGCATCTGCTTCCTAAGTACCCAACATTATTCCACCCTCCCCCTGCTGTTCCCTTCTGTGGTGTGTTCTCCTCCTCTTGGATACAGTATGGTGGAGGGTAAAGGAGAAGCTACGGGTTAGACAGTGCCCGCTCTGACCCCTCAGTGACCTGTCAACACGTGCTGCCCCTGTCCTGCTCACTGGCGGAAGAGGAAAGAATTACTATTCCAAGTCGCTCTGAGCAGACCATTTTCTGTGGAACGAGATGAGAGGAGAAGGTGATGTCTAAATCCCTGCCCACTCCAGCATCGAGTGTGTTTCTGATTGTTTATGCACAGATCGCTTTCTGTGCTTGCCTGCACTGTAGCCTGGCCACAGCTACAGATACTTTAGCATGATATTATAACATCATTTTTGGTTGCTATTTTCTGATCTATTGTGAAGAGAGCACAGATCATCACTGGATATTCAGATTACTTCCAGTTTTCACTCTTCTGGGCATCTTTGAGGATGTATCTTTGAACATCTTGATGTCTTCCAAAGAATAAATTCTTAATGTAGAATGGCAGTTCTTAATAGGTTCTTATACATACTGCATCAAAAAATCAATCAGAAATATTGTATTTATACTCTTTCTCATCAACAGACCTGCTCCCCGCTGTCCTTTCCAACAAATACCCATTCTTTTTTAATGGCCTCTAGTGCCATAAGCAAAAGTAGCACCTTGTTTTGGTTTTAACTGGCAATTCTTTGCATCTGAGGCTTCTTTGTTTGTATTTTCTGGATAGGTTGGTAGTTGACCATGAACTTGTTTTCATGCTGTTTTGACCTGTGTCTTATAACATACGCTCTACTATGTATGCATAAGATGCTTTTCTGGTTTATCGTTTGCCTTTCAACTTTTGGTAATTTAAAATCTGTGCTGCATCTATTTCAGACATGTGCAGAGGTAGAGGTGGATGGGGGGGCATGCTGAAGGACATGTTCACAAGCCTGTGTCACCCATTGGTGGCCAGCCTTGTTTCATAAATGATATTTAAGATGCTCTTTGAGACCAAAAGTGTTGCTATGCTAAGCCTCAGCTTCTTTCTTTTCTGTGGTGATTTCTGCCTCACTGTTAATGTGATTGTTCTGTTTCATGGCTTCAGATGTCGCACTGGCTGCTGTTCTTGTTCCTGTGCTGGTCATGGCTCTCACGACGCTCATCCTCATTTTAGTGTGCGCATGGCACTGGAGAAACAGGTCAGTCCCGAGCTTGTTTCCATGATTGATCCTGGGAGACATGCAGTGATGGGGAACATACCCTAAATATATAAGATAATGGAAGTCCAGTCCAGTTCACCTGCTCAGCTCCAAGGACAGTTAGTTCCTGTGGAGCTCTAATGGTAAGTGAGGTCTGTGCTGTGCCTGTTGAGCTATACATTAAGATGAACATACAGATATTTGGTAACACTGAAAAAATTAGACTCACTGGTCTCTCTAACATGTTTAACAGAGTTGGCTTACCAAAATAACAAACACTCATGTTTGGTGAGTGCCATATAAATGAAGTGCTGGGAAGACCATGAGAGTCAACCTGAAACCCTCTCTTCAGGAAGGGCAGCTTCACATTTTGCTTAAAGAAACAGGATCTACCCAGATAAAAGAAAGTAGATGTCTTAACATTCATTCAGTTTGCAAGAAGAAAATACCATAAAACAGGTGGTTTGTAAATCAAATTTCCTTGTTGTAGTACTGGAGGCTGAGAATGGAACATGAGATGCGGGCAGATGAGTGGCTAGCAAGAGACGCCTTTGTGGTTCAGACAGTGGAGGAGGGATGAACAAGCTCCCTTCAGCCTTTCCTAGAGATACTGATTCCAATGAAATCATGACCTGATCTTTCCCAGAACCCCACTTCCCAACACCATCACCATGTGGGGTTAGGATTCTAACATCTGAATCCTGGAGACACACAGGCATTGGGTCTTATCACAGTTCAGAATAGTCCAAACTGGGTGAGTTGTTTATGTAAGACAGTAGGCAGGATAAGCACTGAGTCATCTATGAGCCTGGCATGGGGATGTACTGATGTAACTGTGGAGGTGCACTCTGAGCTTGGATCAGCAAGGGCTTTCGGGTTTTGTTCTATAGATTAGAAAAGTATTTTGTGTTGGGGAATGGTTATAGTCAGATGGCTGTAGAAAATGGCAGTGTTTGTGAAGTCTGGGTCAGGTGAATAGTAGAGAGGTGAGAAGAGGTGATCAGATGAATTTTGAAGCCAGTTGGTCAGGCAGGTGTGCAGCCCAGGACTTGTTTTACAGCGTGTCAGAAGGATGCAGGATGTTGTATTTGAAGGCAGACACGGCATCATTCTGGGGCACTGTGAGATTCTGGCTTTGGAGTTTGACGAGTAGCAATGCCATGAGCTGAGATGACGGCAGGAGGGACAAGCTTGACAGAGGAAGAGGGCTCTTTTAGTCGTCCATTCGACAGTACTGTATTGTGTATTTGGTTGTGACCTTGTGCCAAGTGTTGATCCCCTGCTAGAAGATCTGTACATCCTAGCGGGTAACGTCAGTGGCTTGAGCTCTTTAGGATCTTAAACAACAACTCATACAGCTACATGTATCCTCATTGTAAAGCAGAATAATTTCTGCTTTCTTGATGGCCTGCCTGTAAACACTAACTTGAGTTTGATTAGATTTGCATGTTTTTCTATCAATTGCCTTTCATTTGCTAGGCTTTCTCTGTAAACGGCTCTAAGTAGTAATTCTTTTTTGTTTTTATTAATTGAGAATTGCATAATTACACTGTGATCATATTCACCCCCACCCCAACTCCTCCCACATCCACCCTCCCCTTATTCCGTACCCACCCAACTTTGTGTTCTCACCTATCCAACTTAATCAGTGTTTGTCTGTCTACTCCTGGGTATGTGGCCATCCACCTACCAGGGGCAACACCCTTGAAGAAAGCTAATTAATTCTCCCTCTTCAGGTAGCTTTTAATTGTGAACAACTCTTCAGTGGGGGTGGAAATTCATGACCACGTCCCTTCGGTTTGCTGGAATTTGATCTGGCTTGATCTTTACATTTGTATATTGTGTAAATAGATACACACAAACTATGCTGCACGTGTGGGAGCCTGTCTTTCTCTTTGCACCCTATGGTTCCAGGGTTCAAAATCAGGTTCTCAGGCTTGATGGCAAGCCCCTTTTACCTGTGGAACCATCTCCCCAGCCCAAGTGAGACTGCCCCTTGTATCAGGAAATGTCCTTTCACTGATTTCTTTATGTACCGGGCTGTCAGTAAATAGTGATTCTTAGCAGAGACCAGTTCTCCTGGTGAGGCCAGATGAGATTTCTGATGTCGGGAGTAGGCTGGGAATGATCTTATTCATTGCACCTGTGCCTTTTTCTTCCTCCCAGACTCTGTAAAACCTTCCAGGTCTGCAGAGACATTCTCCTCCCTCCACCAGTCACTGCTAGTGATAACATTGTTTGCTGGGATTGGGTGAGGACGGCTATACAGTTAAGAGTATGAGACTCTCAAAACTTATCTGTGCCAAAGAACCACATGCTCCTGACTAATAACTGGTATCTCTGCTACCCTTTGGGAGATTTTTACTAGAGAATTCACTGTTCTCTGATTTTTGTTTTCAGAAAGAAAAAAATGGAAGGCACCTATGACCTACCGCACTGGGATCGAGCAGGTAACTTGTGAGCTTAGCTTCAATCCAGTCAGAGAGGAATCTTTCCTCTGCTGGGTATAGTGGAGGAAAGATGTTCGCAGCCATTAGTGATGATGCCTCAGTTAGAAGCTAACATGCTCTCCTGGAGTGGAGAGATGGCTCAGTGGTTAAGAGCACTGGCTGCTCTTCCAGAGGACCCGGGTTCAATTCCTAGCACCCACATGTTGGCTCATAACTGTCTGTAACTCGAGCTCCAGAGATTCTGGAACTCTCATACAGACATACATGCATATAAAACACCAATGCACATGAAATAAAAATAAATAAGTTATTAGAAAAAAATTAACATGTTCCCACCATCTGGTTTGTAACGTGATTAAAGGGAAAATGTAAATTTCTTGCAACACCCATCATTATCTTTTCCTCTGAAAAGTTGATCTTTTCCTGTGATTATTCCTCTTGAGGAGACCGGCCAGGCAGTGTTAATCCCAGCACTTGCCAGGTAGAGACTAGTGGATCTCTGTGAGTTCAAGGCCATCCTGATGTACAAAGAGAGTTCCAGGATAATCAAGGCTACATATCCAGAGAAACCGTATCTCAAAAAACACCCCCCCCCAATAAACAAAAACAAACAAGCAAACAAACAGGAAAAGAAATAAGACCCGGAGTCCTAGAACAGTGTATGTATGTGAGTCTGCCATGGTGCTCACCAGTGGAGTCAGTTCTTTAAGAACCCCTGAAGGCCTTGGTCATCTGAATGCCTGAGAGTCCTTCCTACTGTAAGCACTGGGCAAAAGGCCAATGCCATGACCAGAGTATAGCAGGCCTCTGGCTAAACAATCCAGCCCACGGACAGCTAAAAAGTGGGAGGTTCTGAGAAAAACTTCTTAAAAACACTGAGGTGGCCCTGTCTGACCATGGATTAGTAGGGATTTGTTTCTGCATGCACATTGGGTAGAGACTTCTGCTAGACATTCTGTCCGCACAGTCACCGCAGACATGAACCTGGTTTCTATAGAGCTGGTCTCTGTAAGTAACACTTGGTCCCTGGCTTACAATCACAATGAAGGTTGGTGGAAAGGCGTGAAACAGTTTCTCCCTGCCAAATCCGTGGAACATGAGGAGACGCCAGTTCGCTACAGCAATAGTGAAGTTAGTCACCTGAGCCCGAGAGAAGTCACCACAGTGCTCCAAGCTGATTCTACAGGTGAGACTAGGAACACTTACGCTCCCTCCAAGGACTTTAGGATTTACGATGTGTTTGATGTTTTTCATATCCTAAAAATAATCTGTGTTCTGGGGCTGGAGAAACAGCTCAGCACTTAAGAGCACTTGTGGTTCTTGCCGAGGACCTGAGTTCCATTCCCAATACCCACACAGTGGCTCACAACCATCTGTAACTCTAGTTCTGGGTGATCAGACTCCTTCTGACTTCTACAGGCACCAGGCACACACATGGTACACAGTAATGTGTGTAAGGCAAACATTCATGCACATAAAGATTTTAAGATAAACTATGTTCTGAAGGTTAACCTTGAGAGAACGAATCATTTCTGCTTAGATATTCTCTTCATAAAACTGAAGCATTTCTTTCTAAAGACACTGGGCATTATATCTGTTAGCCTGGGGGCGTTGGTTTGCTAGCCCAATAAATAGGCAAGCCCCAGGTCTCGGTGAGAGACAAAGTGTACAGCTCGTACAGAATAATACCCACTGTTGACCTCTTACCTCTGTATGGACAAATGAATGCCAATACGCAAAATAATAAACGATCAGGAAAAGCTGAGAAACAGTGCATCCTGCGGTCCTAGTGTATGTGCATTCTAAGCATTTCCTGATAGTTTCGAAGGAAAGAAGAGGTGATGTTTCCTGAGACTAATACTTACTCCATTAAGAAAACACGACTTCTGTGCAGGTACTGCTTGTGAGTCTGAAGAACAAATACTTGATGCAAAGGGTAGAAATGAAGCCTTCTGTTGTGTCAGGTTACTACTGTGAGGTACTAGATAGCATACTCATTTTTCAGCTGGTCCCTGTGGGTGGGAATTCTATTGTTTTACCTTGATAAAGACGACAGTGCCGTGATGTAAGGTGTGGTTTTGATGCAACCTGTAGCTGTCACCTTAAAGTATGTACTCTGTTTTCATAAGATAAGCACCTCATTGTGTCTTGTACAACAGAATATGCACAACCCCTCGTGGGAGGAATCGTCGGCACGCTCCATCAGAGATCTACCTTTAAACCTGAAGAAGGAAAAGAAGCAGGCTATGCAGACCTGGATCCTTACAACTCTCCAGTGCAGGAAGTGTACCATGCCTATGCGGAACCGCTGCCCATCACGGGACCTGAGTATGCAACCCCGATCGTCATGGACATGTCAGGGCACCCCACAGCCTCAGTTGGTCTGCCCTCCACATCTACTTTCAAAACGGCAGGGAACCAACCTCCTCCTGCTTTAGTGGGAACTTACAACACACTTCTCTCCCGGACTGACAGCTGCTCCTCGGGCCAGGCTCAGTACGACACCCCGAAAGGTGGGAAGCCAGCCGCTGCCCCAGAGGAACTGGTGTACCAGGTGCCACAGAGCACCCAGGAAGTATCAGGAGCAGGAAGGGATGAGAAGCGTGATGCCTTTAAAGAAATCCTTTGAAGGTGGTGCTGCTTTTTACGAAGCATCCATTTAAAGCACATGGCTTTTTTAATCCGTAGTGTAGTAATAGTAGAATGTATTAAGTATCTGTCACTGAAGTGGTTAGGGGAATGTGGTGACCGAGGTACAAGAAACTACTTACCTTGCCATCTTGCTTTAAAGGTGTTACTGTGTGGTACAATTCCTGCTTGCCTGTTACATTTCAAACATCCTGTTTGTTACTACTGTAAAACACTATTTTTAATACCGAAAAAGCTCCCTATAATGCACTTCAATGAACCTGAAAATCACTGAGTATTTATTACCAATGCTGCAGGTACATTAATGAACTTGAGATGGTTCCGTAAGCCTTGCTGGCAATAATGCATGGTACTGTTCTTGAAATTATCAAATGGCTTGAAATTCTCCCTTTGTGAAAGGTAGGTACTATCATGTTCTCCTCTTTCAACCCTCTATTCCTGTCTGCAATCTTTTTTCTCCACAACAGTGGTCCATAACCATCATCATAGCTGCAGCCGTGTGCATTGCTCTGTTTCTCCCTAGGAAGGTGCATAGCTGGAGCTCCCGGCCTTGCAGTAAGGTGGGTGACTGACTTCTCCTTTGGTAACACTCTTTTAACACCAGGTGGCTCAGGACCTGGTCTCACCTGTGCTCATCCCATCCAGGACCTTTTGTGGCCTCGCTCTATCCTATAAATTTTATAAATGCTGGTGGCCCCTTTCAGTAGGCAGTCTTTAGGTCTTCTTCCCAGGGAAATGGGGGAGAAGCCGCTTGGTCCCTCTGCTCCGCTCTCCGCTCTGCAGAGATATATAAATTACCTTAGGGAAAAAATTGAAGGGAGACTAAACTTAATTAACCTCCTTGGTTTTATTTACACACAAGCCCAAATACAAAAGTTTTCTCTGAGTTCCAAGTTATTTTATAATTATTTTCTTCAGTAAACTATTACAAGAAAAAGAAAACCAGACCTGATGACTCAGGCCTGCAATCCCAAGACCTGGGAGGCTAAGACATGAGAATCCCAAGTTCAGTGCTTTGAAGTCTAAGTTCAGGATTAACCCAGGCTACACATAAAATCCTGTCTCAAAATAAGAAATAAGGTATGTCTTAGTGGTTTGTGCTTGCCTATAGTAAGTGTGAGGCCCTAGATTCAGTCCTAGTACTAAAAGAGAAAAGAGGGTCAACATGTATTCTTCAGTTCTGTATAATTCTGTGGAAAGAGGCCTAAGTAATCCTTTGTGTCAGACCTGGTTGAGCAGTGTCATCACTTCTGAACTGTACACGATTCTCCCCAGCAGCTTGTCACTGCTTGAGCATAACCTGGCCAGACTCATGTCAGATAGGGGAGATTAGACATTGTGATGGATTAGCCTACAGTGCAGAAACCACCTTCTGATAGCTTTGACATAAAATTCTGTATCCCTGTCCACAAACCTGTTGGTTGGCTTAGTTGTAAAGTATATCAGGCCATTGGGTCCTGGTCATTTTTCTCAGCTTATACCACCCAGGTTCTGCATTGCCAAACTTTACGACATTTGGATAGTGGTAGACAGTATTGACTCTGCTCCCTTCCACAAGTGTGTCAGTATTTAAAACATTACTTCAGAAACAGAATTGTCTGTTTCTGCAGCTTCCCTGCCTTTGCCCCCCTTGTATGATTTTGTTGCTTTTATTGTAATTTGCCTTTTATTTTGTGGACTTTGAGACACAGTTTCACTCATTGAAAAATCAATGCATATTTTGTTTTAAGGTAATGAAGCAAAAAGCACAGATACTGAACTTGTACTGAAACAAGAATGTGTAAAGCACACGGTGCAGTTGTCCCTTTCAGGTGGGAGCAAAGTTAACCGTTTGCTGTTTTATTTTTATTCATGCTCAGGAGGCAGAGTATAGTTTTCTTGGAGTCTGATTCCCATTGGAAGCTTTGAGACATTTTGAAGATGAAGTCATTTTCCCAAAGAAGCTTGTTATTTTGTGTAACTGTGTCTCAGATCATTTTTCCCAGAACGTTTTTAAAATAAAGCGAGGCCATTTCTCATATGATGCATATTGTAAGACTTGATTCATATTGCCACTGTGCTGTCTTCAGCTCTACCAATGGTTTTCATAAAATACCTGGTTATTTTTATATTTTTTTACTTTGCAGATGAGCTGAGCCTAATTCAAATGATTTTCTCTGGTTTTGTATTTTTGTTTATGTAATATAGATTGTTTTAGGTTCTCAGTCACTTACATGTCTGATACAGAGCTTTGGAAGACAATCAAGTAAAATGTGAAAGGAACCTTTTCTTGACCAAACTCCTTGATTTTTTTTTTAATTGTTTGCTTGAAATACTCAATACTTAAGTCACTGTGGTTTATTCGGTTGTTCTTTCCCTGATAATACAGTTATAGAAATATATAGACAGTAGTTTGGCAAGTGTGGCCTTTGGAGGGTTCAGAAAATTATACTGACTTCGCTGTTATTTGATCTTTGGAACCAGCACAGATAAAGATGTTGTTAATTCTGGTTTGCATTTTATTAAATGCTGTTTGTAGATCCAAGTAGTTCCTGTTGAATATGCCAGGTCTAGTCCAGTTATTTAATTCATGTTTCACTATTTGCACTTTGCATTGAACAATGGGTTTATTCGCTGTTCACTTAGAGAGTTTCTACAGTCATGATGGTTACGGTGTGTTCTACGTGTGTGCTTCTCCTCTCCCTGTCCCAGTGACAAAGCATTAAATATGGTTGTGGCCACAAAGCTGTGGCCAGGGATCGAGCGAGAGCTTCTTTGCCTTGGCTCCACATTATCACCTGGGGAGTAGAAAACTAAAGCAGACAAGACCACTAGACAAACCCAGAGACTATGGGGGACACTGGATGGTGTCCAGACCCTCAGTGGAGAATTAATGAAGCTCTGTATAGGGGCTGTTAATTCTGCCTTTTGGTTTTGAACTTGAAAAGTCCCTAAACTGCAAAACCTAGTGGGTTGGGTGGTTAGCGAGTTAGAGAATGTTTAAGTTAACTGTGGCACAAATTCTTATTTAGTCCAGCTTGTGTGTAGTTTCTCTTGTTTTCCACTTTTGGCACTGGGAATGATAAAAATAAAACATGTATTGCAATACAGAGGAAGTGAAAATGGCTTGACTGTCAGTTATATTCTCCCAGAATGTATTTTCTTACCTCGGCATGTACTGTAGTCACTTGATATTTGTATATGTTGCTAGAATTTAGGCTGTTGGAAATAGTGAGATTCTAATGTGTTTTTAATAAATTATATATGTGTGTCTTACTCTGATTATTTGGATTAAATAAAACAACCTTTGACATCATACTCCATAAAATGCCAGATTTCTCAGCATTGACATCACATTTTTATGACCAAGATTATAGTGCTTAAAGCATCATTTCAAAATTGTCCCGTTGTTCTCCGCTGCCAGTTCCCCCAGACATACCATGAACATGAACCTGGGCAGCCCTGCTCCCTGTGGCCATGGAGTAAGAGGGAAACACCTCATGAACACGTAGAGTCTTCTAGTGTTCCGGCTTCCACCTCTGAATTACGAAGCTGTTCCAGTATGAGTTAGCCTCACTATCCATCCAACACAAGCTGGTTTTCAATATTTCATTCCTCCTTTTCCTGGTATTGAACTCTCCACGTGTACTCTCTTTAGGGAAGCAAGTTGGTTGCCAGTACCACTTACATTTCCAGTAATGCTTGCTGCCCCAAAGACAGTGACTCTTGTTCTCCTCAGATCTCTGATGGTGTCTGAATCCATCCTTGCCACCTCTGCTAGTCTTTCCTCCTCCCTTCCTGCCCCCGGGAGCCTTCGGTTGTGTGTATTAATATTGCTTCACAGGCTAACTTTTGTTTGTGGTTCATCAGACTTTCCTCTAGTGTACCTGAAGTGGCCTAGTAAATGTTTTAGTGAAGGCTAAATTTAGTCATGAAATGCTGACTTTTTTCTTTATACAAACAAACAGAATCAGCTGGACTCCCAAGGCTTTACTTTCATTGGTTTACTTTTCTAATTTGCTTCAAATAAACATTTAAGAGGCAATGGATACATTAAACTAGGAAAATACTTAAGTTTCTCATTCTTGACCTTATCCCTGCACTCCGGAGGCAGAGGTAGGCCCATCTCTGAGTTCAAGGCCAGCCTGGACTGCACTGTAGTTCTAGGCCATCCAGAGCTTACATAAACCTTGTCTTGAAAAAAAAAAAAAAAAGCTTTTTTTTTTTCCTTTGAATTTAAAAAATGATGCTGTAGGGTACAGTGATACACAGTTGTAATCCCAGAACTTGGAAAGGTGAGGCAAGAACCCAGTTCGAGGCCAGCCTAGGCTACATCGTAAAAACCTGCCTCATCCCACCCCCCAAAAAATCTCAGGATGTTCATCAAGGTGAGAGTGCTCATCTTAGCATATGTAAGAAAGACTGATTTGCTCCCTAACACTGCAAGTTATTACTAGCTTAATTAATTGCATGGGGAACTTAACTAAACCACTATGAACACCACACCATGGACTCCAAAGCCAAGTGGGTTCTAGTTTCCTGCACCTGGCCCCCAGTCATATGCCAGGAATAACAAATAAATAATTGTCTCAGAATGACATGTGACCATCAAAACTAGTGACATCAACTAAATCACCTAGAACTCTAAGATGAAGGAACTACAAAAAAAGGTATTTTAAAACACCAGCTTGTTTTAAACAACAGTCAAAACTTTACATAGTTCCCTGATATCATAACTAAAAGGTTTGTTTTGTATTTCATAAATATATTCACAGAAATTAAGCTGGTGGTTATAAATCACCAGGTAGCAACAGACAATATATATAATTATTTGATGAGTTCATTCAACATATTTAAAAATAAACTAAAATTTTCAGTACAAAAATAAAACTAATACTATTTAGCGTCATCTTTTGAATCTGTATGGTCAATCTGGAGTCAAGTTGATTACCATATTTTTCTCTATAATTCTCTTTAAAAAGAGCTGCTCTGCAGTCACATTGTGATATGCATTCTGAAAAAGAAAATGAAATAAAATTGTCATCAGAAAAATGTTTACGCTTAGAACAAATGTTGAGCTTTTCCCTCCAACCTTAGCTTAAACATTTGTCTCATGTTAGAAGAACAAAAGACAGCAGTAAAATTCAACATGAGTATCATTTCCCCAGCTGGGGTATTCAGAGGTTTAACAAGGCTGATTTCATGGGCTGTTGCAATATACTTTATAGCAAATCACCCATTTCAAATTTTTAAACATAACATTCTTGTGTCATTTATGGTGTATCATTAATCTAAGACCTCTTTACAGTAGGAAATCCCTTCTCATTCAGAACTGGATCCTCAGGATCTAGTTACCAGCATCAGTGTCTGATGGAGAGGATCATGACCTGGTAAAGAGGTCTGCCACTTTGTCACCATGAAGTCTTTCATAGGGTTCCATGTTTCTAGACCACCTGTCTGCTTAACTAAAAGTGTGGATGTAATTACTATTACCATTGTGATGATTTGGTGAATTCATGTGTCTCAAACACACCAGCTGATTATATTTAAATAGTGGAGAAAGGAAATCTCTGTCCCTCTTGGGGATTGATGAAACAGCAGTCACTGAGAGCCACAAGTTAGAAATTGCTGCTATAGTAAAATGACCTCTGGACCAGGATCCTGGATTCAGCATTTGGGAGCTCAAAGGTATGAAAGGGGACACAAGGGTGACTGGGGACAAAACTAAGTGGGTAAAGTACTTGGAGAGACCAGAGTTCTCCTCCAGCACCTATGTAAAAAGCCAGGTGTGGTGGCATACACCTGTGATCCCAGCTGTGGATAGGTAATGACAGGCTGATCCCTGGGACTGGCTGGTCACTGCTTAGTAAATTCTGTGCTGGTGAGAGACTGTTAAAGAAACAAGATGAGTTGCTCAGCCTAGATATAGTAGAGAGGGCCTTGGAGCTTCTCCAAAGTAATGTGCCTCTCTGAGGATTGAATAGAGTGGGTAAGTGGAGGGAAGGAGAGAGAGTGGGAACTGGGATTGGTATAAAGAAAAAAGATAAGTTTTTCTTTTAAATAAAAAACAAAGCTAAGAGAAAGGAAAACAAGGTGAGGAGTGACACGGTACATTGCCCAGCAGCCCCCAGAGACACCCATACATGTTTCTCTACAAACATGATTACACACAATTCTTAAAGTAAGAGTTTTCTAAACAGTAAAAAAATTTACCTTGTTCATCAAAGACATGGTAGCATTCCCATAGTAGTGTAAAGGACTGTTTGGGTTGTTCACGTTGTACTTGAAACCAGCAAGGTGAACTTCACTGCATATGTGAAATGCCAGTGTGAGGGCAATAATTCCTGTCGTGGGGTGTTTGGGTTTCTAAGAAGAAATCAGAAACTTAAAAAAGACAAATAAGCTACATTCTTCCCAGACCTAGTCTGATAAAGATGGATTTCTAAACATTAAAAAGAGAAATAGTTAAGCCATCATTATGTCCTAAGACTCAAGCCCCAAAGAGTACACAGTACTCTAAAAAGAACATAATACACTATGGCTAGTATCTTAGGAAGTCTCCAAAATATAGCTGTGGTTTTAGCACAGAGAGAAGTTGTGAATTGAAGAGTATCCTGCTGTGGTTGTTTGATCAAAAATGAAACATCGTAACATGAGTCCAGCTGCTATGGAAAAGGCAAAGCCTTAGGAGAATTGAGACTGTCAATAAAATGTAAGGATGCTCTGCTTACTATGGCCTCATCAACACTGCTCCTTCCTCTTCCCAGCCTTTGAGATATGAGTACTCCAACACACTCCCACAATGGTTGCTACCTCAAGAATATGTAGGACCTTTCAAACCTGCCTGAGCTAAGAGTCTCTTCTTCCTAAGTGGCATACCTCCGCTATTTCGTCTAGCATGAAGCTAACTAACACAGAGTGCTTGAGATAGTTCTCTACTCTGAAAAGCTACCTCCTTGTCCTGAAGCTATTCTGCACACAGGGCTGCTGAGCACCCACTAGTCATGCTGGCCTTGCTGTACTACTCTGGAGATGAGGGTGTAAGAAATGGATTATTGAGCCTTTGGAGAAAGAATCTATGAAGATCACACAAAGACAAACCCAAAAACACACCTCTCACTTTATTCTGAAACCTGTAAAACATCTGGTAATATCCATTTGATGTTTAATTTCTGCACACAGTTGTAGTCCTAACAAAATGACATCTAAACCATGGTCTTTAGTTTCCAAAACCTCTAATGTCCTTCGGTCCCCTTAGCTAGATCTTTAGTTCGAAACTACGTGATGAAACATACATACCTGATTTTTGGGGAAAACTTTGGGAAAATGAAGCAGGTGATGAGCTGCTTCTCTGATAATGTACGGATCTAATATTCTGATTTGGTATCGTTTATAGATCAAGTTTAAGGCTGGCTTCTTCCAAAAACCATTAGTGTCCTGAAATAAAGGACACAGAAAATGGGATGTTGTGAATACAGTTTTCTTTAAAGGGAAATACTGAAAGTAATTGAAACCAAATAGTTTTGCCAACTTACTATGTTGGTACCACTCAGTACTTCCAAGAGCCACCTTAAATCCTGTGGCTTAAAGACAATGAGAACCGCTGTGGTGTTGGGATCACTGTGAGTGGGATCTGAAAAGACAGACTCTGGATAAAAAAGCCTGAAGGTTGTCCTTTTTCCAACATCCTCTTCATATCCTAAAACAGGACCATTATTCATTCTGCGGATAGTAAGACAACAATATATACAGGATGAGTGGAGTATGAGCCATTTTTGTTTGGTTCTGAGGCTTCAGCATTGAATGAGCATCAGTCATGATTCCTGCACTCAGAAGCACCAAGACAACTGAAAAATATTTTCCAGTAATGACCAGGGAGATGATTCCTTTCAAGGAGACAGTCGTCTGTATTCAAAGCACTAATTACGGCATTAGTCATTCTGATCTACACAGGACTAAAAGAGATGAAACTATAAAACCACAGAATTACTATAGTTAGAAGAGACCTTGGTGAATAATCACACAAACCGAACTTGGATTGATAATTAATGGCCTTGAATTCCTGAGAAAGTTATATGCCTACAGGCTATATAACCCACAACTATATGGATGTGCACCCATGCAACTGACGAGCCTGAAGAGTCACATTTAAGTTAGTGTGAAGACCCACTGAAACTGTGTTCTGGGGCTCCAAAGATGACTCAGTAGTTAAGAGCATTTGCTGTTCTTCCAGAGGACAGAAGTTTGGTCCCCAGCACCAATATGCTGGCTTCACAACCATTCCTAAATCCAGTTCTAAAGGAGCCATTACCCTCTTCTGGTCTCCACGGGCAGCAGGCACAAACACACTTGCATACAAGCACACATAAAAGTAAGTCCTTTTTAAAAAAAATATTCTAAAATTAACTATATAAAAATTCTGTATCACACTCAGCACAATTAGACAAATTCCTTTGGCTACCAAACTATAAACAGTAAAAAGATCTACTGTTGGATCAGTGGATGCTTAAGGCCAATGTTAGACAATCACTGTTTGTGCACACAATATAAAGGCATTATATGAAAAAGGAATGTTTTGTTTCCAAAATAATGTCCCTTGGGAGGATAAATAGTGTTTGACTCATTTGCCACCAACTCTGTGTAATTCAAGACACTCGCAGTGGCTTTCAAAATGTCCCCATGGTGTTCCCTACAAAGGCTTGCTGAGGTTCTAAAAATTATCAGAGTTAAACATCTGTAAGTGGGAAAGAGGAAAAATCCAATTGTTTTATAAATTACCACAGCTCCTTCAAAATGGGTAATAAACAGGAAGTAAGATGACCTTGCTTTGCAGAAATCAGCTTGTAACCCAGGCAGTGTCCAGGCACACTGCAAGGTCTTCCCAGTGTGTGGTCTGGTCACCATGTACAATGGCTGCTTATAGCTATCTCTAACATACGGGGCAGGGGGTGGGTTGGGGGGGGTGACACAGACAGTAAGGGAGAGAGAATTTTACCCAGATAACAACCTTAGCTCCCCTTCCATTCAGAGAGTAGAGATAGAAAAGATTCCCCACATACTATGATGAAGGAACTATTGGTAGCTGTAACAATTGTATAGGTCTCCTTTCCATTACAGAAAATGAATCACCCTTGAACTCTTGACCCCGGGCCTCTTTTTATCCCAGCAGCTTCACTACTCAAGTACTTTAACCTTATGCCTTCTGAGATTCTGTAACCACCTCCAAGGCTCTGTTCATTTTCAACCGCTCGGAAGATTTCTCAGTAGTTGACCATACTGGTTTCTCCCGCTTTATCTTTGTTTCTCTCCTCAATTCACTCCAGTTGGGCTTCTTGCCATCTCCTCCCTGAAGCTTTGGTCAAGGGTGACAGTGACTGCTGGGCAGACAATCCAGCTGGCCCCCGTCTGCCCTTGCACAGCTTTTCATCACAACTGGACCCAACTGATCCCTCGTCCTATTGGCAACTGTGGTCACCCCGTTTTCTTCATGCCTCACTGGTAGATCATTCTAAGTCTTAGGAGCTGCAAACATCAGTGCCAGACTCTCTCACGTGTCTGCCCAGCTCGCCCAAGAGCAGGGGTTCTCAACCTATGGGCCGAACAACCCTTTCACAGGGGTTGTAGACCAGATGGTCTGCGGATCAAATATTTACTAAGATTCATAACAGTAGAAAACTACACCAATGAAGTAGCAACAAAAGAAGTTTATGGTTGGGGGAGGGGGCCACTACAACAAGAGTAACTGTATTAAAGTGTTTCACCGAGCCCTTGGTTTAAATACAGCTCTTAAGTCAGTCACTATTGAAAAGTTTTACGTCTTTATGTGACTGTCAGCTTCCCTACTGATATCTCAAAGACATCTCAAAGATAACATAGTAATACAGAAATTTTTATTTTCTTCCGAACCTGAGCCTATTCCGAACCTGTTTCCCAAACTTGCTATATAATGCTGTAATTCCCCAACCAATCAGTGGAGCTGAAAACAACCAGAGGTGCCCTTGCTTCCTCTATTTGCAGTACTTTATCTAATGAAGCAGCAAATCCTGATGCCCCTTTTTCCGTAACCCGGTTCTTGTCCGCCACTTCCCTTCTTCCCATCCATGACAATTCTGCCCATGCATCTACTGCCTCAGTACAGCATCTTCTCTTGACGCTTCCTACCATGCCTTGTCCCTTATGGTCTGCTGCAGCCAGAATACTTTCAAGACATACATGTATTTCCTGCAGCTCCTATCTAAAAGTCTTCAAAAGCTCCTAAAGGACTTAAATTAGCATGTGATCTAGTCTCAAACGTCCTGCATAGCCTGTTCTTTGCCTACCTTCTCTGTTTCTGGTTAGACCACTCTCTGAGCTTGGATTGTCTGCTGCTTCTCACAAAGTCAGGATGAAAGCTTCCTAAGGACCTGCAAAACATCCTCTCTGTCTGGAGTGCTCCCATTGTCTTCATATAGCTAGTCCTATATGGGTCCTTTGGTCTAGCTTCAATTTCACCCTTTCCCAAGTAGTCATTTGATAATTCTTTATCATCTCTATTTGTCTGTATTAAACTTATAATATCTTTTTATATTTTTAATTACTGTTTTTCCCCTTGCTTTAGAATATAAACCTCACAACAAGAACATTCTTATTATGCTCAGATCTCCCCTGTGGCTAACTTTGTCCCTGGCATACTAAGTGGACTTATTAAATATTTGCTAGATCAGTGATCTGAAATCTTGTTCACTGTACCTCAGTAACCAAGGCAGGAAGCTATATAATCGGATGCATAAACGGTCGTTCTGAAAACACAGCTGTGCTAGAGTGGGAAGCCACGTGCTTTTCAAGCAATTCTAGGTTAGCAAATAGGAGCTATGTTTACCTTATGATCACATCATAGGAGTCGATTTTTTCTCCTAATGTCTTATTCTTCAACACGCCTCCATTGCCAACCACCACACACCTTTTACACGGCACACTGTGGAGCAAACAGACAAGCGTGAGACTGAACAATCACATTTATGATTTGGAGTGATTCCAAGAACCCGTTCCTGCTTCCATTTGTCATCCAAGCAGAAAAATAACCAACTGTGCCTGGGGTCCAGAGGCTCGGGAAAAAGAATGCTGTTGGGGAAAGCATATCATCATGGTTGATGTCAACCCTTAACAGCTCATGCCCACGTGCATTCTCTCCTCTGTTCCTTAGCATCAGCAGGTAGGAGAGCGAAGCCTGATCGTCCCTGATAGACAAATGGAGAAATAAATTTGAGGGGGAAATGTATCACTCAAAGTCCCAACTCCGAACAGGTGGGACTAGCATTTGGTTCTGAACTTTCAGAGTGCCAAGGGGGTCCATCTCAGTATAAGCTTGCGGGTCCTACTAGCCTAGCTCATATTACATCGCTATCTACATCTTAAACCAGTATTCCCCACTCCTTATCTGCCCCTGGCTTTCGCTTGCATCATATGAGTGTGGAAATGACCAGTTTGGAATGTGGTAGAGGAAGGGCGGCTTTCTGCACCCTGCCTGTGCCTGCTTGAATTTCTCAAACATGACTGCTTCTTGGTGTTTCACCTAAACACAGTGTTCACTGTGCTTCTGAAAAAAGTTTGAAGTAGGGCACAAAGGGGATTTCCAAGGCAGAGTCAAACCCTAGGGTGGCACAGCATTGGCCCTCCGCTAAAGTGACCCTGGCCTGGAATTTTCTTGCTCTAACCATTGTCCACTAAGCCTAAGAAGTGACAGATCTCTAGGAGACGAGCAGAGGAGTCTGCTAAGGGGTCCTTCTTAACAGGAGAAATCTAAAGACAAATCTGGTTCTCAAGCCAGCAGCAGAGCCAACCCCCAAATTCTAAGACTTAAAACCTTAACAGCGAAACTGTACAAATGCTGTATAATATTTAAACCTGGAGTGTGTAGGAGTGGGGAAACATTTTTTAAAACCCAGTTGGGTTAAGAGATGATGTGTGTGTTCTGTAATCAAGTTTAACATATTTTCAGAGACTTGTATATTTCAGTGATTTATGTTGTGTTTTAACATGGATATTACAAAAGCACTTCTAAAAATATAAAATTCTTTGCCTGTTTTAATTATATTTATTCTCTGTCTCATGTGGGGGTACAAGTGTGCTGATCAGAGGACAATTTATGGCCATTGGTTCTCCCTTTCCATCATGTGGGTGCTGGCGACACACAGGTCACCACAACTGGCAGTGAGCACCTATACCTACTGAGCCATCTCACCAGCCCCAGTCCCCAAAACATTCTGACACACTTTAACTAGAGGCTCTTAGTTCTCAACAACTATGAGTTCTGCTGGCATCAGTATCTACTTTGCCAGATAAGAACAAGAAACAACAGTTTTATGGGTGTCAAGAATTTGGAAGCTGAAAGACAGGGGCATTGCCCAATAAAATTATCCAATAAAAAATAAAAATTATCCAATAAAAAGTGTGTCCACAAATCGTTGCATAATCAATACACATCACAATATGTTCTGGAGGTGTCTTCTTAGGTCTGCATATTTTAAGAAAGTGTCTGGGAAGTGAAGGTGGTCTGGGTGCATTACGTGAAATTTCCAAATAATCAATAAAAATATTATGTTAAAAAAATAAAGTAGTATCGTGCATTAACAAAGGAAAAAAGAAAGTAGGGAAGGAGAGAGAGAGAGAAAGAGAAAGAAAGAAAGCTGTCTCTAGAGACTTTTATAAACAAGTGTGACCTCAATATGAACTGGAGGAAGCCCAGCTCACCAAAGCCCCAGCTCCTCACTGCTAGAGGGAGGGTACCACTGTCAAACCCTCTTTTCAGAGTGTTACAGCTGTTCTCCTCGGGAGGTCTGTCCCATAAATGCCCTCCACAGGGAGCAATTCCTTCTCCAGAAACTCAGGGTCAGTTCTTTCCCAGGCTGATCCTGCTGAAGCTGGACATTCCTCACCCCCTCCTGGAAATCCTGACCAAGCCTGGGCACCTAGACAGGGTGGCTCAGAACCTACAGGTTAGAAGCAACAACTGTTTCCATGAGACAGCCTGAATGGAGATCAGGGAAGAGTATCAGTGATTATCAGTCTAACCCCTCAGCCTCCACTGAAGACTGAAAGCCACTTTCAGCTCTCTGTTTGGAAGTGGGGGTATTGAAACAGGGTTTCTGTGTGTAACAGATTTGACAGGAACTAGCTCTGCCTGGCCACTTTCAATTCTTCCATTCGGCGAATAACTAACTGCTTTTCCCTAAGTAGAGGGAGGAATCTAAGGGCTCTCTCTAACTTTTATCCTGGCCTGGAACTCCAGTCTGATACCAGACTACAGTCTTGACTACACCAACCACACAAGGGCAATCGCTGCTGGGGGTGAAGGCTCCCAGCACGCCCTCTGGGACTTACACTGGGGTTTCAATAAAGGATTCCAGGCTCATAAGCTGGAGCTCTGAAGTTCATTCCCGAAAGAGATAACTTGGCTCAGTCCCAAACTGGGCTAATGCCGTAAGGCTGCAATGCACTGACAGGGTGAACCGTAGAATTCCTAGCGTCTGCCTCCCTATCGGACCAAGTTGTATGTGGCATCATGAACAGCGAACCAGAAACAGCCGCCCTCTGTCAAGCCAGCACATCGATTCCCCAAAGTGCGAGTCCTGGATTTCCCACAGGTCTTACTAACACGGTCAGCCAAGAGAACCAAAGAGACAGGCTTCAGGCAGATCTCTTCTACAGGGTCCTGTACAACTAGCTCCCCCGCAGAGTGCTGTTCTTGGGCATCACAGCTCAGCATCAAACGCTTGGAGGAATTTTATTTTCTGTTCTCATCTTTGTCAGCTTTACAGGGCACGGGGAAGAAAGGGCCTTTGCAGGAAGAAAAACTCCCTAGGCATCCAGCGGAAACCCCATCCCTGAGATCACATCTTTCCTCAGAGGAAAAGGTACCACAAAGACTGATAGACTTTCCTGATGCTCACATAGGTTACAGGGAATCAGGGTAATGCTAGCATGGCCTGTTCCCAGTAGCATCTTAGCCACAGCTCCACTGCAGCCCTGGCAGGTACAGGATGATACAAACGGCCTGAACCACTGCTCTGAGAATTCGTTTCTCCCACACAGGTTCTCATGTTCTGTACAGGAACTGATGTCTCCAGCTCCCCGTGATGCACTTGACCTTGGACTCTGGCTGCCCTGGCACCTTAGCTAGGAGAGATTATTCCCAGAATCCTCTGGGGATTGTGGAACTTCATCATGTTTACTGTTTGTTTGTTTGTTTGTTTGTTCTGAGACAGGATTTCTCTGTGTAGCCTCGACTGTCCTGGAACTCGCTCTGTTGACAAAGATGGCCTAGAACACATAGAAAATCGGCCTGTCCCTCTCTGCCTCCTGGGATTAAAGGAGTGCACTACCACCACCTGGCTCATCAATCATATTTACTTAGCACCATCTTCGTGCACAAATAGCTGAGGTGAATTCTGAGTGCCTAGAAGAAAGGGTGGTGTCCTTTTTCTTGCCTGTCATTCCAGTTAAACCACTCCTTCATTTACAGGGGTTTTCAAAATCAGTTCGGTTCTCACATTAAGTGTGTGGACGTTACTCTCCCAAAATGTGTGGAGAGGCAGATTTGTTACTCTACCCTGGAAAAAAGTAAGGAAATACACAGAGCCCCAAGAGTCTGATCCACTAATCAAATAACTGCTGAGTGTCAGAACTTGTAAAAGTAGGACCTCAGCAGCTAGTGAGGAAGCAGGGCTAGGATTCACGTCCCCCAGATAAAAGCCATGCTTCTCCTGAAATCAGGCAAGACCAAGAGTCAGTGCTGTTTAGGGCTACAACTCCTGGCTGATTCACTACCCCACACAATACACAGAAAGTAAACTGTAGCAACCATTACAAACCATCTGTGATGAAGTGTCTTCATTACTGAGTGATGTTCTCTTTTTACCTTGGTAACATGCAATACATTAAACATGTCACGCTGTCTGTAGTGTAAGAATCTATGGCAGGTCCTACTAGCCAAGTTCTCAATAACCCAGCAGCCTACTTTTGTAAACCTACAATGGTGAGCTCATTATCCCTCACACTGATTGGTCTAGGGGCAGCCATGTGACCCATCCCACATGATTAATCAGATAGTAGGGAAGTCTGTCAGATGCTTTCAGAAAAGATTCTGCCCCTGGAAAGAGAATGGTATAAGCAACACATTTATAATGGTCCTCTGAAAATTGATTTGGAGTTAAAATTCATTCAGGCAGTTATTAAACAGGTGTTGACTAACTGTATTCTATGCTGGATACTGTAAAGGCTCTTCCTGTCTCTACCAGACATTCCAAGGAGAGGTGTAGGATCTGCCTCTTCCTTTCAGCTTTTTTTCAGCATACATTTATACTGTATGACATAAGGTTAAAGTAGAGGCCACCACTTTATACCTAAACAGAAAAAAACCACAGAGAGTCTGCCTTGGATCCCTCACACCATCGAGTCACTATTCAACCCCTCAACCAGAGACATGCCATAAAATGCTAAGACTGCACATAGTCTAAATTCAGGAAGCTTCAGTAAGAACTTCGGGTATAAATTGGCACTCCATAGGGTTGTACACTTTACGTTCAGTGAAGCCATGGCGGGTATCCTATAGGAACCACAAACCTGCTGACCTAAAGCTACTCAAGACTAATAATGCATGTTCAGTCAGAAATCTATATTTCTTGAAGCCAAACCCTAAAAGATTGTGCAATTAGGGATGGAGGCCAGGTTCTCTACTCAAGCTCCCTCAGTGCCTCTAGGAATGTGGCTTGATGATCTGACCCTCTCATCACAGTTTGTATGAAGTACAGAAACCACTGACGTCGTCCGTCTTGTTGTTTTTTTGTTTGTTTGTTTGTTTTGTTTCGTTTTGTTTTGGACAGGGGAGCCTCAGCTCTTGTATCTTATCTTAGCATCTGTGCAGAGATGGTAGGAAATAGGTAGGGCTGCCCTGTGCTTTTTACCACAAATGAACCCTCTGTTGATCACAACTTCCTCTGCTCTCAGCTCCTCCACCCTACATGGGCTTGGAGGTATACAGCCCTTCACTCAACAGAATGTCAGAGTGTGGACGGGATGCAGACCTTCACCACGTTTGTAGTGTTTCTAGCAAGCTTCTGTTCTTTCCAACTCTCACCGCAGGCTCCAGCCCTGCCTCTTCTCATAACCAATCCAACCCAGTTCTGCTGAGCCGACATAAGGGGTTCTACTTCAGCGAGCAGCTACACAGCTTCTACAACCCACCGCGCAGTTAGCTCCTGACCGCCTTAACACAGGTGCTTCCCTTAGTAGGTATTTATATGTAGTTACTGTATAACTACGTAGGCTGTGGGACTAAAGCAGTCTTCATCTGGTGGGTGGGGGTGGGGAAGCAAGCTTGTGCATTTTAAGTGGGAGCTGCAGTTCTGCATGCTAAGGCTTCTGTGGCTCCTCTCTGGGGAGGGGTGAAGTTCCATGGGAGAGGTTGCAATATCCTGAGGCCAGGACCAGGCTGGAGCAAGGGAGTGACAGGGACAACAAGGAAGTCATAAACTTAGGTTTGGGGCTTGTTTGAAGTGTTCCTTGCAGTTTTCTTGTAATGTCCGTCTTTAGTGAGGCTCACTGGGCATGGAAGTTATGCTCCCCGAGCTTAGGTGAATTGAGAAGGGAAAGCACAGGAGCAGTGCAGAGAGGCGTGGCTGGGCTATTTATCCCAGTTGACTTCAGGAACCTCCATGGCACATAAACACTTGGGGGGGGGGGCAAAGAAACAAAGGAGAAAGCTCCTAAAAAGACTATCACCATGCTTCCCTCCACCCTTCTAACAGGACATACTTTTTAAATTATTATTACCTTTTGCTTATTTAGTATGAGAGAGAACACTCGGGTCTCTCTTTTCACTCTATGTACCTGAAGTTGAACTCGGGATGTCAGGCTTACTAGGTGGGCACAATATGACCTAGACTGGTGTGGGAGAATTGTCTGTAATCTGTCAATCGCATTTTAAATAAATGCTGATTGGCCAGGCAGGAAGTTTAGGTGGGAAAACCAGACAGGAAGTAGAGGTAATGCAATGAGAACAGGAGAATTCTGGGAAGCAGGAAGCTCCCTCCACCATTCCTGCCCAGACCACCAAAGAAGCAACATGTGAACTGACAGCTGAAAAAGGTACCAAGCCATATGGCTAACATAGATAAAAATAATGGGCTAATATAGTTATAAGAGCTAATAAGAAGCCTAAGCTAATGGGTCAATCAGTTTATAACCTAACGTAGACTCTGTGTGATTTACTTGGGACTTGCCAGCTGTGGGGTACCGGGTGGGACAGAAACCCCAACAAACAAGCAGGCCCTTCATTTTACACTAGACAACAGGCAACATCTCCCATCACCTTTCTAGCCAGCCATGGCCAGTGCCTCAGTTTACCCCACAAGAGTCATCAGTGGCTGAGAAGGCGTATTTAATGATCGATTCTGAGGGTAGAGAAGAAGGAGACAGTCTGAAAAGCTCCAGCTTGTGAGACTTGCCAATCCCTGTGATATAAATAATGGCTCCAAAAGGCAAGCTTCCAGCTAAAACTGCTAAATTTGGAGCTGGCAAGAGATAGAGCTCTCCCATGTTGGCCCTTCTGGCTCCAGCTCATCAACAGGTACAATGAACAATTATGTGTAGCTTCTTGAGAGGTCTATATGCAGAAGGCAAGCCTCAAGAAAGGGTTCATGCCCTTTGCCCATTCCTCCTCCCTTCTGGTAGGAATGGAGACATAATAGCTTGGACTCCAGCTTTCACGTTGAACCCTAAGGAATAAGCCATGTACTGAGCAACAGCAGTGTCCAACACAAAGAAGCCTTGGCCCTGATGACCACAGAACTGCTAGGACAGGCCTGCAAACTTCATACATGTAAAAAAACATGAGAAAGATGAAAGTATCCAGCTTACAAATTTAACTGATACTTCACATTTTTTCCTTCACAAAGGAATTTACCAAAGCATTAGACACTTTTGATTTAGCTATCTAAAGCAAACTAATGTGACCTTAAAGCATTCTAATGTGACCTTAAATCATTTATACTTAAAACAGCAACAAAAATGTTGGTTTTTTTTTTCTGGAAATGAGAAAGAGTACAGAGAGGAGAAGATGAAGGTTTGCAGTGGATGGATTAGACATAGCCTGATGGGAGTGGAAGGATTAGCAGCAATGTAGGGGAAACAGTGGGCACAGCCCGATCAAGTCAGTAAAGAAGAACAGATAAATGGCTGAAGATCTCTCTTTGCCTGAGATATCTAGGAAGGCAGCTGAATCAAACAGTCTAGTAACAGTAAAAGGAGACAAAAATGAAACTTCTACTCGCTGACTCTCAAATACAACAATTTACATTTGCAGAACTGTTTTCAGGTCCCTGATCTTGCTCTCTGCACAGGCATCTAAGCAGTGGAGTTGTAGGCACCTCAGTTCTCATCCTCGCTCTGCCATTTCCCAGCTAGAGCAAGCTGTCTCTCTGTCCAGCCTTACTTTTACCTTTTGAAAACTTAGAGGAAACTGACCTAAAGGATATGAGCCAACCATCTTCACAAATCAAAACTCTACAAATGAAAACTATGTAAAATTTGAGATGCATAAGTATGTCTCTCTGTGTGTGTACGTATGTGTACATGCACAAAACTCAAAACTCTTGATATGTGGTAACAGGGTGGTAGTGATACATGCCTTTAATCTCAGGGCTCAGGAGGCAGAGACGAGCAGATCTCTGAGTTTGAGGTCAGCCTGGTGTACAGAGTAAACAACCCTGTCTCAAAAAACCAAAACAAAAAACAATTTCTTGATATGCAATAAGTTGAAACTGATCAGTAGGTGGCATAATTTTGAATTATAAATTATAACAAGTGGCAATAGACCAACCATACATATTCCATATTTCCACAATCTGTGTCTTTCGCAGACCTGAAAGATCTCAATAAAATGTAGCACTCCTATCCAACTCTGTGCTCTGACTTCCCTCTCCACGTTCACGTCTGTGTCCACTACAGTTTCCATGGTTCTCAAGGAATACCACTGCACTCCCAGACAAGAAGAATCCTACCATTCCCTTCTTATATACAGGATTGATTTCCACAGACCATTTCATTCTTTATGCTACTCCATGGTCCAAATTCTAAACTGTATCCTCAAACTTTTTGAAATAAGTCCACCTTTGTGAAAGTAAGCTGCCTACCAAGACATCCAATGGGGTTTCTATGGATTATCTTGGCAAGAAGATTTTCTCCACACAAAGCAACATTTGTAGATAGAAAACATATACCTCAGTAAGTTGCCTGCTTCCTTCAAATGTAATTCTCAACAAAAAGGAGCAGAATTGCTTCCAAAGTTCAATAGTCAACAGTCAGGAGCCCTGGGGATACGCACAGAAGGTGTGGGGAACCAGTGCAGATGGAGGCTCTGCACTGGTTAGCAGTACAGGAGAATTCATTCCTTCGTAGAAACAAATTAGAGATGATGGACATGGGTCAAAAATACCACGGGTGGGAACTCCTGTTGTTCATCACTGAAACACTGAAAACCGAGCCAGCCAATGCTGCACCTTCTATATTAATTTCATAACTTGCTCACTTCCAGGGGAATGAGAGCAGAAATAACTACTGGAGTTTTAACAACACACACATCCAGTAGAATCGTCCAGAGTATACGCACTTTGCATTTCTTAGGGCAAATACTTTAAGTAACTTTAAATAAAGCTGAAAGTCGGAGAGAAAGAAATAAACTCACTTGTCAAACTCATCAAAGAGATCACAACTCTGCAGCTTTGAAAGGACAGTTCGAAAATATACCGCTGGAAAACAAATACAGCATTATGAACAGAAGGCTAACCATATCTTCTCAAGAGTCAGCGAGTCACCCAACTCCCCAGCTCCCAGACTCTTTCTAAGCACCATGGCTGTGCTGGAAATGATCAGTGAAAATTGACAACTTATCTACAGTTTGATCACAATACTCAAAAAGCACACTCAAAGTAGTAAATATTTTGAAGTTATTTCCTGAGAGTAAGGATCAGTGCAAAAACAGTCACAAAGAGTAATAAAAATTAGCAGTCAGATGATTCTGAACCATAAAATGGAACTCAGTGAATTTAAGTCAATTAGTCATACATACATACGTGTGTGTATCACATATATATACTTATATGTATATGTATATATATATACATATATATGATTTCATATATTCCAAGCTAGCCTCAAACTTTCTGTGTAGCTGAGGAGGTTTTAAAACTCCGGATCTTCCAGCCCCTCCACCTCTCAAGCACCACAATACTTGGTTTATTCAACCATGATAGGCAAGCACACACTCACACACACACACACACACACACACACACTCACACACACACACACACACACACACACACGTACAGAGACAATTTTAAAGCAGAATCAGTTGAAAAAGTAAAATATCACAAAATTATAACTGGCACCACTTGGTTTTTTAAGGCCTCTCCAAAATCTAAACCTTCAAGCTACATAAGTCCCCAAAGCTCTCAATGAGTGGGGGGGAAGATTGCTGTGTTGTTAAGAGGCAGAATAACTCCTTCTAGATTTAATGAAAATAAAAACCTACTAGTAAAGTTAAAATATTAAGGATCTAGAACTTGCTGATGAAATAGATGAGAGGAGAACAGGGGTTGGGGAGTCTCAGTCAGCAAAGTGCCTGTGTGCACATATGTGAGCCTAGGTCAATCCCTGAAGCCCGCATAAACAGCACCGTGGCCTATGCTTGCAGTCATAGCACAGAGGAGGCTGTGACCGAGGAGGCAGAGATCCCTAGACTCGGTGGTCTGTCACTCTAGCCTACGTGGTGAATTCCAGGCCAGTGAAGGAGCCTGCCTCCAAAAAAAGGAGGGGGGATCTGAGGAATGACATCTGAGATCTTCTTAGGACCTTCACATGTTCACATGTATATGCACATGTGGCTACATGAACACACAGGTGAAATGAAGGGGCTGGGAAGAAGTTGCCCTTTAAGGTTATCCTGCTAATTCTAAACTATAATAAATTTAAGCATGTGAGCTAAGTCCCACTGTGACAGAACAGAGGGAAATCCATTTTCCCCAGTACCACCACCACTACCACAAAAACAGCAACAAAACAAAACAAAACAACAAAACATCCAAAACACTTTTGCCGCTACACTGCCTCTGAAAGAGTATTTATGTTTAAAACTTTAATTTTTTTCTCTTTACCCTGTCCCCAAATCATATCTCCTGGGAGCTATTTGGAAACAGAAACATGCAGCTCGCATCAAACACCACATAAATCAAAAGGCAGGATAAGAACACCGTGACTGACCTGATGACTTTACCCCGTAGGGTAAAACAAAATTATTGGTACCGTACATAGAAGTAATCCTTGCAAAATCAGATGCACACAGAAAGGGGTAAAACCGGGGAAACCTGGAAGGAAATAATAAAGCATGATCATGTCAAGTGTCTGCTATGTTTTTAAACATCTTTGATCACAACTGAAACTTATTACGGGGGATGAGTTAGGTTGGGCAAATATTTTTTTAAATAATTAAGACAATACTTAAATGTTAGAGCTATGCAATTTTCAGGCACAGGAACCAAAATTATGTTACAGTGTAAGTAAAACCACCCTCTAAGTGATACAGACAATGATGCCCAGGAAGTTATGTAGGGATTGATGCTAAGCTATTCCAAAATTTAAAAGTGCCCTATGCACAAACTGTACCAACTGTAAACACAAAGATATAATGAAAGCTAAATGTAGCTGGAGAATTCATCTCTGCCCTAAAATCACTAAACTAAGCTTTACTCAAGAACAAAAGCTGTGGACATCTTTCTTCTTGCTACATGCTCTGTCTTCAAGATGTACCCTGTGCAGCTGGGCGGTGGTGGCACACAGGCCTTTAATCCTAACGCTCGGCAGGCAGAGGCAGGCAGATCGCTGTGAGTTCGAGGCTAGCCTGGTCTACAAGAGCTAGTTCCAGGGCAGGCTCCAAAGTTACAGAGAAACCCTATCTCAGAAGAAAAAAAAAAAGTGCCCTGTGACTCCCACACCTCTCCTCGGAATGTCTGGTAGAGACAGGAAGAGCCGTTACAGTACCCAGCACAGAATACAGTTAGTCAACACCTGCTTAATAACTGTCTGAATGAATTTTAACTCCAAATCAATTTTCAGAGGACCATTATAAAGTAGGAGAGGTGTTTGTGTTATTAAAGAAAGAGAAATGATCTTAAAGGTCCCATTCCTAAGGTATTTTCTCCCACCAGAAAGACTGGAATTTATAGGGCAGGACCTGCCGAGTTCTACTGCTCAGCAGTAGACCCCACATGGGCACGATCTGACTCCCACCGTCAGCTATGGCTAATATTTAAAAGGACAGCAGGGAACCAGAGTGAGGCCGGGCTTTCCCAATGCTGCGTGTCAAATGGAAATGGCCATCCAGTGAGAGTGCAGGTCTTCCATTTGATCCTGGTCGTGAGAGCTGCCTTACGAACTAACATGGCATCTTGGCAGAGGAAACAGGAAAGAACGTGGCGTTCCCTGACCTAGCTTCAGCGCTGGTTGTGACAGCAGCCTTAAGCCAGCCACCCTGCAAAAGCCCTTTTTAAATCAGTGTGGATCCACAAGTTCAGGACCTACACTGGGGAGGGAAGTGCCAGGACACTAGTTCAAGCTTGGGGGAGAAGATTCAAGATCCTCTCCCTGGAGAAACGGAGCTCTAATGTGAGGCTCCGGTAAAAGACTTTCTTCTTCAGAGCTGGTTAAGGTGATACGAAGGGAATGAGACCGTTAACTAACATGTCTTCCTAGCCAAGCCTCTATTCACTGCTTACACTTACTTTCCAAATGAAATAATTATCTGGCATAATATCTCAGACATATTAAAAGCCTCTATAAGTATTAATTTTACCTGTAATAAGTAGGATAATCATATTAAAAAGCACTTTTATCACAATGCAGCTCCGTGGTTCTTGCTCTTACAAAAGCTTGCTATGGTAAGGATGGGTGGGTGGTGAAGCTCCTGTTTTGGGAGGGAGCCACCAGCCCACAGAAGCCGAAGCTGCAATCCGCACAGAAGCCTGATTCTGAGGGAGGGAGTCCTCCACCCAGCCAGGTTCCTGAGCAGAGTTTCCTATGCTTCCTGACTTTTATTCGTCTCGGAGAAAGTGGCATCCTAGAGTGTACTGTGCAAATGATAAATCCATGGCTGCCTGTGCCTTTGCTTGCAGTCTTAGATGCTCACTTAGCAGTCTTGAACAAACACTATAACCTTGGGGGAGGGGTCTCAACGAATATGTTATACAATTGAACATGCCTAACTGAGTTTGGCGCTGGTTTTGCTCTCTAGCAGTGGGTGGCCCAGGCGTCTATCGAAGTGGCAGTGTATAGAAGAAGACAGATTTGTAGGTGGAAGGGTGAACTGGTAGACTACAAATCCTAGCAACCACAACGATCACTCACTATTCACAAGACATGTAGATCAATCATTTGTGTGTGTGGCTTTTTTCTTTCTTTCTTTCTTTTTTTTTTTTTTTGAGACAGGGTTTCTCTGTGTAACCCCAGCTGTTGCTGTCCTAGAATTAGCTCTGTAGACCAGGCTGACCTCAAACTCAGAGATTCACCTACCTCTGCCTCCCGAGTACTAGGAATAAAGGCATGCACCACTACCATGGCCCAGTCATGAGGGGAAACTTTTAATAGTAATAATAATAAAATCTACATCTGCTCGGATCAGTTGCCGGATGAAGTCTCATTGAAAGGGAAGGTGGGGGGAGGGGACTGGGAGGAGAGGAGGGAGGAGAAAAAAAACTAAAGAACAGTTCTCTTTTTTTCTAATCAAATCCATACAGGCCTCTCCAATCTCACCTGAGTTAAGAGAATACCAGCTTTAGTGTCTTTCCTTAAACCATGCTCAGAGCTCTGGCTGAATGCACAAAGGCAGGCTATTCGAGTTTCTTATACACTTCCTTATACGTGCGTGCAGTATCACCATGTACCAAGATTTGCATGGAAAGGGTAAATAGTGTGAAAATGACCACATTCGCACATGTTGTATGGCCACAGTTTTTTGTTCTATTTTTTACCTCAGAAGAGAGCTGAAAGGTGGCTTTTTTGGACAAGTGTTGATATTTTTACTCTTGATATCCATAGGTGGTACCCTAGGAAAAAGAATTACTTGAAGTAAGAAACCAGAACCAGGAATTCTGCCCAAAGAGAAACATGTACACCAGGAACCCACTAGACTCCACTGCTGACCAGCCTTGGAAGCAGAGGACAAAGACAGGCAGACAGACAGACAGACATACACACACACACACACACACACACACACACACACACAGCCCTGATGTTTGAAAAGGCCATGTTGTCCTAAGGAACTGGGGGAACAGAGATTTCCAGGGGCCTGTGGGAAGGGTTTAGCTTGAGTCCTCGATGGCCTTCGAAGTCAAACAGTCCACGTGCGCATGGCTTTCATCCCCAAGTCATACGTGGGAACACCTAGCAACGGCAAACAGTGTACACATCCGACTGAGCAACTTGAACAGACCATGGCTCTGGCAGTGTCACAGGTCACACCGCTGAGAGCCATATCTCGCTGTCCTCAGTTCTTGACTCAGGTGGTTTCTAAATGGAGTAATTTTCTCCATGACTTAACAGAACATGACAAAACCCAACTAGGAAAGTAAATGGCAGGAGTGTGGGGTGGGGGTGGGGTGATGGGAGGAAATAGCCGGAAGAGGAAACAGCATCACTTCGTTTCATTCATTGATCAACAATTACATGAAGAATTGATGCTTTAAAATTAAATGACCTAATGAGAAAAAGTAAAAATTTAATATTTTTCTACTATCAATAAGACTCAATCTGAATAGACTAAAGGTTTTGTAGACAGGGAGTTTTTTTTCTTTTTTATGATTATTTTTTTCTGAAACAGAGTTTCTCTATGTAGTCCTGGCTGTCTTGAAACTTATTCTGTAGAGCAGGCTGGGCTTGAACTCACAGAGATCTGCCTGTCTCTGTCTCTCAAGTGTTGGGATTAAAGGCACACTATGGCCAGTTTAAATTTTTTTACATTTATTTTTACTATTTTATGAGTGTTTTCCATGTACATCTGTGCACCACATTTGTGTTTGGTGCCCAAGGAGGTGGTGAGCCTCCATGTGGATGCTGGGAATCAAACCCAGGTCCTTTGCAACAGCAAGAGAGGCTCTTAACCACTGAGCCGGTTCTCCAGCCCTAATTTTCATTGTTTTAAGTACAAAAACTTCCATACTTAGAACTAGTAAGCTATTGAACTAAGAGGATGTCAGTCCTTAGATAATGATATGTTTTGAGAATACTGCAATGGCAAGGGCCACTTGGTTTATCCATAAGGATGATACGCAGGTATGGTGGACAAGCACAGCAAGCCACAAACACTGTGCTAGATTCAATGAGCAAGATGAACTGGATTACTTCATTTCTAAGGTTAGAGATGGAGAAGCAACACGGAGACGGAACGTAAACAGCTGTTTTAGAATATCATGAAGACCAACGTTAGGTGGCTGTGAGAACAAAGACTCATCTCTTTATTTTCTTTCCATGTGTATACATGGCATGCACACCACATATGTGTAGATATACCCACATGTGTGCATGTATGAGCAGAGGCCCACGGATGACAAAGAGCATCTCCCTTGATTACTCTTACTCTCTTGAGGCAGAGTCACTTACTCAAGCCCAGAGTTCATTAATATGGTATCTTGGGAGTCAGCTAGCTCTGGGGAACCTCCTGTCTCTCCCTTACAAAGCTGGGACTCCAGGTGAGCTCTGACACCCACCATGCATTCTGGGGATGCAAACTCTGGGCCTCTCACTTGCATGGCAAGTGCCTTAAGTGCTGAGTTGCCTCCTGTTGGTAGTGTTGTGCTGCGTGTGTTCGGGTAGGCCAGAGAACCACTCTGGCCCCCATTTGAGCCAATCTGCATTGTTTTCTCAGAGTCTCTCACTGAGAGGCTATGGATCAGGCTAGGCCCACTAGCCCAGTCTGTACGACCACACCTGGCTGTTTATGATCAAACTCAGGTCTTTGTGCGTGTACGGAAAATATTTACCAATCGAATCATCTCCCCTGCCCCTTTAACTGTCTCCCCAGTATAGGGAACCGAGAAGTCCTGAATGAACAAAGTCCTGAGTGAAACTGTGCACTTGACATGGACACAGCTGTGTCGAGGACCCCCTAGCCTCAGGCTCAGAGGGACACCAAAGCCTTTTGTTAAGGGAACTGATCCTGCGTGCTGATAGTGTGGGCAGAAAATGTCCACCACGGCTTTCTCCCCTGGTGTGTCCCTGGTGTGTAGGGCCTGAAGACGGCTCCTCTCCAGAGACTGCTCCTGTCGCGATTAGCTGAGTCTGTCCTTTGACCCAGCCATCAGCCCTATCTTCTTTTCCAGCTGTATGCAATGACTTGCTCTCTCACTTCAACTCTATATAGTAACTAGCACGCTGAGTTTCCAGGGTGCTGAGACTTCTCCAGCAGACAGCTCAGACCACCCACCCCCCGGCCAGATTGCTATTCATATGCCCATCTGTCTGTCTTTTTTTTATTCCCTTGCTGCCCCAGTCAGGTCCATTCCTAAGGGCCATGCAGGGACTCCGTACCCAGCTCCCCTAAAACAGTTTTAAAGGAAGCAATACTGGGGTGCACACCCACATTAGCTGGGTAAAGTTAACTGAGCGTGGGCACTCTTCAAATTCTGGTGACAAAAGATGGTGGTGAAGTCAACGTATTTTTATTATCTCCTTTATCATTTCCTCTGTGATAAACAGGATGCTTAGAAAAGTACAATGGTCGATAATCTAATCTCATGAGATGTGGAATTAACTGAGAGGCATACCTTTGGGTGGGTCTCGAGGGCAATTCTAGCAATGATTAATTAGGAAAAGCCCCTACGCCAGAGTGGATGGCACCTTTTTGTAGGCAGCCCAGACAGAAAACCTTCAGAGGAAAATACAATGGAGCTTGTCTGCCTCCTTTGCTTATGAGTGTGTCTGTCCGTCACTTGCTCTGTCTTCCAATGTGAAATGAAACCCAGAAATTTTGAAGAAATCCTCCCGGTCTTCATCATGACACAGGGACAGATGAAGCCTTTCAGGCTGAGCCACATGAGCCACCTCTGTGACCTGAGCCTATCTCCAGGTTTCAGACAGCCATTGGACTATTCAGCTTCTCTCGTGGAAGTCATTCTAATAAGCCTCCTTTTATAATATATGTACATTGTATGGGTTCTGTCCTTCTAGAGAACCCTGTCTATTATAAATAGCAGCTTAGCAATCTTTTTGCCTTTTCTCCCCTTCTATTATTATTAGAAGGTGGCAGAGCAGAAGGGAAAGGCGTCTTCACTGAATGCTGAATGAGACTTCAAAGTTCTCTGGCCCCGAAATCAGGTGCAGAGGCTAAAACTGTAGGTTCAAACCACCCAGCTGGCATTAGGGTTTCTTCTAGTGGCATCTGGCCGACTTTATTCCATGAAAGAGCACTACAATAACTCTTCAGTGATGAGATGGGAGTGCAGAAACAGAAATATGAGATTCTTCTTTCGTTTAGTTAGAAACAACCTAAGATCTGCTGTTGAAACACTGACAAAACACTATCTAAGATGGGAAGTTACCATTTGATTTATTTGTGTTTAATTGTCTACTGACATCTGTTTAGGACTTAAAGGTCACCAAAATTTTATTTGCAGCCAAAGAACTGAAATGGAAAGTGTGAAAAGCACACTTAATAAATTTCCTACTCAGTAAAATTATGCCTTAAAATTTTAGAAGTATTTTATGTCAAAGCCATTTTGAAATGCATATGGTATTTTTGAATAAAGGGAACTGGATGTGGTATGTATATGTTAGCAGTGACAACCTGAAACTCGACTGATTCTGAGTCTAAGAACCACTTCATTAATTCAAGAAGATGAGCTATTGTATATATACAAAATGTTATATCCTGAAAGTAGTCAAGACTAATACTTTACTTGGGAGTCAATAAGAGATGGATTGAGGCCAGAGGGGTGGCTTAGAGACTAAGAGCTCGTACTACTCTTGAGGAGGACCTCAGGTCAGTTTCCAGGACATGTGGAGGGTGACTCTTAACCACCTGCAGCTTCAGCTTCAGTGATCCAACACCCTCTTCCGGCTCCTACAGGTATCCACACACATTCACATAATCAGACACACACACACACCCCCCCCCACACACACACACACACACTTTAACATTAAATATCTTTTAAAGAAATAGGTGTATCCAACAGGGTTTTTCTCAATTAAAAAAAATCTCTGTCTCTCTCTCTCTTTCTCAGTCTCTATCTCTGTATGTGAGTCTGTGTGTATGTGTGTCTGTGTGAGAGTGTGTAAGTGTATGTATGAGTGTGCAAGTGTGTATGTATGTAGGTGTGAGTGTGTAAATGTGTTTGTGGATGTGAGTGTGTGTGTGAAAGTGTGTAAGTATATGTATGACTGTGTGCAAGTGTGTATGTATGTAGGTGTGAGTGTGTAAATGTGTTTGTGTGTGTGAGTGTGTTTGTGTGTGAGTGTGTGTGTGTGTGTGTGTGTGTTGTTTTGTCCTGCTCTGTCACTCTGCCCTTGAATCTTTTGAGACAGGGACCCTCCCGACCCCTGGAGCTGAATCTGATATTCGGCCAGCCATCACTAGCACTCTTCCTGTTTCCAGCCCTTCCCTCCTCCCCAGTGTTGGGGTTACCAATGCACAGGGTTTTCATACCTGGTTTTCACATGGGTTCTAGCAACCTACCACCAGGCCCTCCTCCATAAGCAGCAAGCACTTGACCCACTGAACCATCTCCCCAGACCTACTCAACAGTTTTAAATTGTTAGAGAAACAATCTACAGTATCCTGAACAGTAAAATCCCAGTGTATGGTTGAAAGGCTAGACAAAAATCCAACATGTTACAATCTTGGATACAATATTGTAATACAATACAAAACAATACAATACTCTGGACGATTCTTTAGATAAATAAGGGGAAGACAGTTTGAAAGTCATGTTAGGTAATAAAACAAACTTACCAATAGCCATTTGTTCCCCACAGGATACAGTGTAGCACATAATAGAGGAAGACGCAACTCAAGAATAGGGCCAGGAGGTACCCTCTCATGGCTAGCCTGCCTGAAACAGGAACCAAAGACAGAGGGGATGGTTATGCAGATGGTTTTCACGACGGTTCAAATACTTGAATTAATAAATAAATCTATAAAGAGAAAGGAGAAAAATGACATGGGTCTATAACATTGAAAGTGGTCACTGAGGGAGCTCCCCGACTCTGGACTGATAGCTAGGGAGCCTGCATAGGACCGACTAGGCCTTCTGAAAGTGATGACAGTTCTGTGACTTGGGAAGTCCGTAGACCCACTGTCAGTGGGACCAGGATTTATCCCTAGCCCTAGTGTATGAACCGGCTTTTTGGAGGCCATTCCCTATGGAGGGCTACCTTGCTTAGCCTCAATACGGGGAGGGAGGGCAGGGGGAACAACTTGGTTCTGCCTCAACTTGATGTGCCAGACTTTGTTGACCCATGGAAGGCCTTACCCTTTCTGAGGAGTGGATGGGGAGTTGGTGGGGGGAAAGGTGACAGGGGAGTAAGAGGAGGGGAGGGTGGGGGAACTGTGGTTGGTATGTAAAATGAAAAAAAACCTTATAAATAAAAAATTAAAAAAGAAAAGAAAATGCTCCCTGAATGTACAGAAAGAACACTTGGATTTAGTCTTAGCAATTGATCAGCATATGATGCAGGTTTCCAACAACCAACGGCTCTGTGGTGCCAAAGCTAGAGGCTTCTCTGAAGCTTTTTCATATTAGGTAAAAATGGAAAAAATTCTTCAAAAAGAGAATTTACATATCTCCACACCCAAAACCTTTCTTCAAAAACACCGAAGAATATCTTTTTTGATCCTTTCCAATAAAAAGTGAGTATGTGCTTTAAGATGTGAATAACCACTTGACCCCTTCGCGGCCTGAAGTGACTCCAAATACGATGTGTCATAGTTTCAGTGCCCTCTTCCTCATTTCAAAAAATAGGGGAAACTATTAAAACATTTCAACTTTCAGGCATTAGTATTGACTCTTCAACATCACAGCATAGCCATATTCAGCTTTGTTTTGCATTAATGTGTTACTCCTTGTACCTTTGTAGGCAGAAAAAAATAAAGACGACAATCTTCTCTAGATTGTAACACACACATACCACACAATACTTTATGGAATATAAAATATAACCAGGGGTTCTCAAAACCTGTGTGGGGTCATATATCAGATACTTACATACCTGATGTTTGTATTACAATTCATAGCAGCAGCAAAACTACAGTTATGAAGGAGCAACAAAATCATTTTATGATGAGGTTCACCACAACATGAGCAAGGAACTATATTAAAGGGACACATCACGAGGAAGTCTGAGAACCACTGGAAACTTTTTTTGTCTGTTTGTTTTGGTTTACTGAAACTTGGTTTCTCTGTGTAACAGTCCTGGTTGCCCTGGCACTCACTTTGTAGACCAGGCTGACCTCAAATTCACAGAGATCCGCCTACCTCAGCCTCCCAAGTGCTGAGAGTAAAGGTGTGAGCCACACCACTACCAGGCCACTGGAAACATTTGAAGTGTGTTTGTTTGGTATTCCTGCCCTTTGCTTCAAAGCCAGACATGAAAATCTCCTATTTTACTATAAAATTAAACACAGAAGTCATGCTTAATATGTAGTTCTAAAACACACCCTTTTATTTCAGTGCATTTGTCTTTAAACAGGGACATCATCGCTCTGCTTCCTTTACCAAGGTCCCAGATGATCTAACCGACTTCATATTCCATTCCTTTCTTTCTTATCCATATGTAGTGACCTGAATCCAGGGACCTGCTGAGTATACAAAGTAAGGGCAGGCTGGAATCATGTCCAGTTTCTTCTAAAGGGAAAATAGGTTAAAGTGAAAATCCCTTTTGTGTTCAAATTGTGTGTATTTGTGTGTGCACATATACTTCATACACATGTATGTGTGCAAGCATGCAGAGACCAGAGGACAACCTCAAGTGCCATTCCTTTTCAGTTGCTGCTTTTGGTTTTTATACAGATGGTGAGACAGTGCCAGGGACCTGCCAGTCCCTGCCTCCCCAGCACTAGGATTATATATGTCTGCTCTCATGCTCAGCTTGTTTGCATGGATTCTGAGGGTGGAATTCATGTCCTCATACTTGTATAGCAAGCGCTTTATCAGCTGAGCCATCCTCTTATCCCCTAGCTGGAAATCTTAGGCCACTTTTTGCTTTTGTAAATGGAGCATACTAAACAAAACTCAAGCATTTTACTTGTTTTGTTTGCTTTTCTAACAGGGAGTCATCTTAAGAATCACAGTTGCCTAGGTTTCTCAGAGCTAAGACTCATTGGTGTGAATGTTAATGTAGGAGATCTGCTAAGCAGTCCTAACCTGTAATGTCTACCTGTAATGACTACCTGACGGGGCCTGGTCACTTCTGACAATCAGCTATCGCCCTGGCAGCCACCACGCCCGCGCACCATCGTAATAAATTAGTTTCAATGAGGGCAGAAAGCAAGTAAACAAGGGAGCTAGGTGAGTAAACTTTAGTCTGCACATACATGTCATTGAGTTTGTGTAATTGCTGGGAAATCCCATGATCCACAGCCCAACTCCACCTGAGGCCTGGGGGCCTTGGTCAGTCAGTCTGCTTGTAGCATGAGTGATCACAGTCTATAAGCAGGAGCACACCCCCATTCTCAGCAGGTTATCACAGGGTTGTGGGAAGCAAGAGACTACAGCGCAATGTTATAACCTTGATACATGCTCAAAATACGGATTTAAACTTCTACTCGGAATAATATACTTCATATAAATATTTAATAAAGATATAACTTCCCAGTTTGTCAGCAAAATTTAAAAAATATAGTTCCACATAAGGGCCTAGAAATGTTAGTAGTTAGCATTCAATCTGCTTATCCATCCCTTAAGACATACCCCTGAGGGGGTAATTTTATGAAGCCTAGCATTATGGGTAAGTGACAATCCTGTTATTGTCTTGTTTTTCACTTACTAATACGTGGTTCAACTGAAAACAAAGGAGTATGAGAAAGCATTCTTTTTTTTCCCAAAAAGTAAAAAAACCTGCTTTTCCAGAGGTGTTAAACACAGCACCCGAAAAGAAAAAAAACAACCCTGAGGCAGCCTAGGCACTTTCTGAAATCTCATTGCCAACTTACAGCTTTGATGATATTCAAGGTGCACAGTAAACTAGGGCCAACCAGGGTACCCTGGTGATAAACATGTATGGCCCCTCTGTCTGTTCACAGGAAGAAGCTTTCATAAATAGATTAATTCTTTAATTGTAATCCCATAAATGGAACGACTAGGTTGCGTTAAGCAAGAGTATTCAAAGGAAACCCGCTCAGGATTCTTACAGACAATGTATGGCTTTGAAAAGTCGTAAGAGTCTAGAATGCAACTTCGACAAACAAGCCAGCCAGCACATTTTAAGATCCTGACATGAAACGTGATGGGTAGCCAATTTTCTGAGTTTTCGGTAAACCCGACACTGCGCAGAGATAGTGCGGAGCACACAGATCCCTGGAGCTCAGTGACCAGCCAGAAGGGCCAAACAGATGAACGCCAGGTTCAGTGAAAGGCCTGGTTTCAAAAGATAAGGAGGAGAGTGATTGAGAAAGATGATGATCTCTGGCCTACATACACAAGTTTAAGTACATGTCACGCACACGCGCACACACACACACACACACACACACACACACACACACACACACACGGTTTTTTAAGGCAACAACTTTCCCTTCTCTTCAAGAGCAAAAGAATGTACTGTTTGTATTGAGCTGCTAAGATCACCAACAGCCTGGAAGGCTAACATTTCCTCTAAGGGTCACAATAAGCTTGCTAAGTAGCTGTGTGGCTATGAGCCTCCAGGCAAGTGAGGAAAAAAAGGATGTCTCCCATCACATGATTTAAGAGAGCCAGAAAGAGAGCCTGGTCTGTCCCTTAGAGATCTATTCCTGGATCATCCTGTCATCTCAAAATAAAAGGCAAGAGGGGAGCTCGAAAGAGAGAATTGTATTCTACAACTTCCTCCAGGTGCTCTGCCGTCATTGTTTGGGAAGTGCACATAACAGTGAAGGGGAACTCTCTCTGCGCAGAGCCCGAAAGTCAGCACCATCCAGGGTGAGATGGGAGCCACGGCAGCAACTGAACACCCCCTGAACATGAGGTTCTTAATGCATACAGAAGTTTGAGAAGCGCTGCTCTGGGACTCACTATAGAATCCCGATGTAGAAAAAGAAAACTTTGGGTTTGTTGCGTCCATAACAGATGGTCTCCAACAGGACCACATGGAAGCATGCACTACTTTTTGGATGTTTCTCCTCCACAGGGGATGTCACACAGAAGTTGCAGAGACGATGGTTGTTGAATATAGTTACAGATATCAGAACTCAATGGTCCAACTAATTTTTCATTGTAAATGCCTAGTGTGTGGCACATGGCCAAGGGCTAATGATGACATGAATTCATTGAAAAGCAAGCATCTGGGGAAGGGTTCTGGTGAATCATCACTCGCCGCCCTAACAACCGTGAGGAAGTGGACCGCCCACAGTTTCTATTTTGGAGCTGAGGACCTGAAGGGCTGAGAGAAGTTTCACACCTGATGTGTGACAGAATCATGTGACTCAAGCAGTAGCTCCTAGGCCAGAGTCCCCTGTACACAGCTGTCTCTCCAAGGGGTCCTTTCACAGATGAGCAGGTCCAAACTCTTGATACCAGATTAAACACTACAGAATATTTCTCTGTCAATTCCACCCATTTTTTTTTAGCAGAAATGATTCAATGCCAATTAGTAAAATGGGAAGTTTACAGTTTCTGACACAAACTCTGCTGAAATAAAACCCTACTTGTCTCCATTCTTCTCCTTCCAACCTGCCCCTCCTCACTTTTCCTGTATTATTTGCAGAAACAAGCAAACCCTATAAAACAGCACTAAAAAAATGACCATATTTTTTTAGGGGCCTCCTAATGTTTTCTCTAGCCCCAGGGAGCTTGCTAAACAGTCAAAAGAGAAGAAAGCATATTCAACAACAATAATGAAAACTCACCAAGCACAA